AGTGGATCCAGACTGGGGATGGACCTTTAGTCAATGAGGATTGATTAGCTGCTTCCTGGCAGCAGGTGGATTTAGGGTGACCAGATGTCCCGATTTTATAGGGACAGTCCCGATATTTGGGGCTTTTTCTTACATAGATGCCTATTACCCCCCACCCCCATCCCGATTTTTCACACTTGCTATCTGGTCATCCTAGGTGGATTCTAGTTGAGAGCTTGGTTCCTTCCCATCAGGGCAGCGTCTAAAGAAAAGCACACACTTTTCCACTGGGATTTCTTGCAAAGAAATCCCATCTCCTGCTGCTCCTCCCAGCTGAAGATGCTATATTTAGGCTCTGAGGGCCAAGGCAGAAAGTCATTCCTTCTTCATTCCTAAAAGCTCTCATTCTGGTTAGCTTGCTACTGAGTCCATAGTTAAATCCCAATTCAACCTAGTGCCTGCACAAAGAGGGAAGCTGTGGCATTTATCTAAACAAGAGGCTGTTAATTTTTTTGTATTTAAGGGATTCTTTTTAAATCTACTGAAAATAAATTAAGGGGTCTGCCCTCCACTCTGCTCCAACTGCCAATCTGAACCTTCCCTCTGCTTGAATAGGAAGCCCAGACACACCTTTTCCTTGCACCATCTGAAGATAGCTTTACAGCACCAGCCCTTCAACAGAGCCACTCTGATTTACAGACATCTTTTCAGACCCCCAAGTCACTTACTTCCACCTAAAAGCTGGCAACAACAAGTTGTCTATAGGGCACCTTCTGGTTTAAGATGTCAACTGCAACTTAAGGGTAGGAAAGTTCTAGGCAACAACCACTGGTGCATTTGTCCCATCCTAGGCAGAAAGCTACATGAGGATGAGCAAGCTTATTGGGCTTTACTGAGGGGCAAGTGCACCAGATCCTCTTGTAAACACACTAATGGCTGTCCCTTCTGTATGGAGCAGCACACAAAAACATGACTCTAATGGGATCTTCTCTGATTGCATCCATGCTATCACACCTCACATTCCCTGAGGTTTCCCTGCCATTTTGGAAACAACACAGCTTCATTAAACCATGAACATGCTTCACGCCTAGGTCAGTGAAATGCAGAGAGGCTGGCTGGCTGCCTGCCCAGTCCATCTTTTCCCTATTGTTTTTCTGTCCAATGCAACTTGTGTCTTGAGGCAGCAACAGAATTCCAAAAACGTCCTGAGAACTGAGCCATGCTCAAAGGCTTGGAAAGGCAAAGGTGAGTCAGGCTACCAGGCAACTTCAAGGGAAAGGGGTCCAACACTAACACGCCAATCATACTGGAGCTTTATGGGAATACCATTCCAGGATGACGAGGGATTTGGTACGTGAAGCACAAGACACCCTCCTAAACCCTTCCATCTATTTTAAGGGTATCTTGTATATACTCTGATGTGAGTAAAGCTATCAGCAGAAAAAGGCTGGCAAAAAGGTCCTTTCCCCTCATCTCTAACTCCACTGTCAAAATGGCAGACACATGGGAATAGGGCTTTGTTAGCTAACAGGAAAGGCTGACCAACTGCTAGGCTTCTCCCAAGGCATTACTTGGAGAAGGCAGAACCCATAGAATGTATGTGTTCCTATGTAGCTATGAATGTTTTAGCTGATTTTTGCAGTACATGACAGCTCCTCTTATGCCCAGAGAGGGTATAATTTAGAGTTTTGAAACTTCCCTACCAGACTAAGGTTTCCCATGGCCCTTAACAAACCTACCTGGCACAGAGCTGGAATCTGACCAGGAACTAGATCTCCCTCATAATAGAGTAAGCAAATTCAAAGTTGACCTTCCTTACCTCCAAATCTGCCTAGTGGCTTGTTGGCACTTGCATGCAAGATGGCCACGTCCAGCACGGTCAGTGGTTGCTAGGTGAAAGTTGACAACAGCCTTCCACCACCATATGGCAATTGCCTCCAAAACCATGGGGTAGTCTGGCTGAGTGGAGCAGGGATTTGCAAGGACTTCCATGGTGTTTCCTTGTGCCCAGTAGTCTCTTCTCCAGTCTTCAACATAACCACTCTGACTCTTCAGGCAAGACATGTGTGCACCCAGAAACTGCTTGATTATAGGGTTCAAGCAGGACTTAGCACTTCTGAATTATTTCCTGTATTGGCACCAGGAAATTTGTCCTACAAGGTAAGTGAACAGTCTGCACAAAGTACCAAAACATTTAACCTCCCCCCCCCCCATTACAATGCTTTTTTCACTTTGTCTGACATAATAGCTATGTCAGAGTCCTCCATGTATTAGAAACTCGTAAGTGTTGTTAACTCTTTCAGATAACTTGTACCAAATCAGAACCAGAAGCCAACATAACCGATGGAGTAGCAATTCTATCTTTCTATTCTGAATGTATAGAAATTGTTAGGGTACCTATTTTAAGCACATTGGGGGTGCATAATTATTACTCAACATACAATTGTTTTATAACTTTTTAGAAGATAACTAACCCTCCAAATTCATATTTCTGGTGTGCTCACCTATGTTCTTTCTGCAATTAAAGAATATTCTTACTATTCAGTCTCTGTAAATGTTCATAAAGTGACATTTATACAAATGCATTTTTATTTTGTTTTAACAGAACAAAAAGAAAAAGGTTGAAAATATTAGACTATACAACAAATTTTGATTTATAAACAAAGTATTCGTGGTAAAACATTTCTAACCAACATTCAAGGTCTTTTTAAATTTTTGCTTCATTTTAGGTCTGAAGACCAATAGTGTTCAAGCAAGCACAAATTGCATAAGGTGTACAGTATTTCAGCTCTTACAAAACAGTTAAGAACTTATATAGCAAACATTCTGAAGAAATATCAAAGGCAAACATGATTCTTACTTTCCCAACCATTCCTTAATAAAACAAAAAGTGATCTTTGGCATAAACAATCATGTATTAAAGGCATTAGTAATATTGCATTAATATCAGTCAAGCAACTAGATAGTGATGCTAAAAATCTCAGAGTATGTCTACACAGCAACTAGACACCTGCGGCTGGCCGGTGCCAGGCAAGTTGGGCTCAGGGACTCGCCTCGGAGGGTCCTGAGCCCAAGCTAAAACCCAAGCCCAGAAGTCTACACAGCAATAAAACAGCCCTGCAGCCCAACCCCTGTGAGCCAAAGTTGGTTGGCATGGGCCAGTCGCGGGCATCTAGTCTCTGTGTAGATGTACCCACAGAGAAGCTTGAACTATTTTGAAAGCAAATACAGGAAGACTATTCAGAAGACCCTCAAGAGTCCTTTCCTATTCAGTGTTTACTATTAAATAGAAATGGCTACATTACATAGTGTTAAGGGTCTGATATAAACCAACCAAAGGCAAGACATTCTGGTTAAGGCTCTGTCCCACTCCTTCACCCTTTCTGGTGTGGGTAGTTATTGGAGGAGTCTGAGAAAAGACCCTAAGTACCATGTATTTGGCATTACCAGGAGACAAGGAGTGAATTAAGGATGAACAAGTGCTTTCTCTTGCTAAAGTCAGTTTGAGGCAGATTATTATAATGTAATTTAAATATGTAATTTCCCTTTTAGATAACCATGCAGGCAAGAGGAAAAACAGGAAGTGTAGAGTAATTGTAGTCTGACACTACTACACAGCTCGCCTTTGCTGTTACTGTGAGTCTGATCAACGGGCAGCAACAGCACATTAACAAAGGTGGCTTGAGCATGATCATTGTGTCAATCCATTGCAAACGGAAACTAAGGAGCCATTATGATGTCAATGCTGGCAAACATAATCAAGTTAGTAAATGTTTTTGCACACGCAAAGGCAGTTTCTAAAATGTTAGCAACCTAATTACTTTTCATTTTAAATGTCAAAAAATATTATTGAACAGCTATCATAAGCATGTTAAAAATGAAGGCATGTAAGTAGTATGGAAGTACAAAAACCATCCCAAGTCTGTTTTCTTAACACGATTGGAAAAAAATAATTTAACATCTAATTCAGTTAATTTCTATTAAGCCTTAAATGTGTATATAGAATTTCAGTCTAGAAATCATTTTCATGGCTCATTATATCTGAACAACAGATTTACATTGGGAACACCAACAGACTCCATAAATTGAGTGCCTCTACTTTCCCACATGCTCCATCATTAGAATGAAGGGCAGTGAGGCACAAGCATCATTAAAAAGTGTAATTTTCCCCTAAAACAACTCTGAAGAAAGTGTGCAGAGGCGGAGTGTGGGTGTGCCTGGTTTCGAAGGAAAGGAGTTCGATCTTGATTGTGTTCTATTTGAGCATTTTGTTCATACAAAAAGTTGCTTTGAACATGATTGACTGACTAATGCAGCTAACTCGATAGATCCTATATTTTTAGCCCCCTATTTCTACCAAATTTTTAACTGGGGGGGGGTCCTGTGCTTTTCTAAGGCCTCTGAAACTTGAACAGTCAAGCTGTCATTATTTGCGACGAACATCCATCACCAACCATTTCTGTATAGCACAAGAATGCAGATTCTGGAATGACTACAGGTGGCAATGGGAAGTAAAAAAGACAGCTCAGTTTTTCCTGACCTGGGATATCACTGCCAAAGTAACAGCAGCATACGAGACTATTTTAGCAATGTGATACCCCCCCACCCCAAAGAGGGGATCACTTCTGATGTAAATGAACTTTACTACATATACCTTGTAACACTTTTGTGGTGTGAGAACAGCTAGCTGAAAATGTCATTAAAACAATTTGCCTTTTCAGTGTCATTGATTGTCCCCCCAAAATAGCTAAGCAACACTGTTAAGTGTTCCAGACCGCCGATTCAAGCTTGAGTAAAGTCCATGTGTCATACCACCATATGGAAACTACTGGAATATACAGTGCATAAATGAGAAGTGTGTCTCTGGGATTACAGAATTCATGAAAAGAGAATCTTCAAAAGCAAAAAGAATAAAAATTGTCAATGTGTCGGAAGCAATTTTGAGATACTTTCCGAAGATGTTTAAATGCATATTTTTATAATTAATGCCCTTAGAATGGGGCATTAGCAGAAGCTAATTTTAAGCTCACGTTTACAGCACATTTTGCTGTTAAATTCTCTTCTGCTTCAAAAAGGCTTTTTATGTTACAGAAGATAATGTTAGTTGGCAGTTGTTTACTGATACCAAGGAGTCTTTCTAACCCAGCGAAGAGTGAATCCAGCATCTGTTCTAATCTTAATAGACGCTGCTTCGGCTTCTCTCACAGTCTCCTTTACAGATTGCATAAGGTTCTGGGCATTGTGAACCAACATCTCAGTAGCCTGCAGACAAAGGAAAGGTGTTATTCTTTCAAGTTCTTAAATACCCATAGTGGTAGAACAGTGTTCACATTCAGATGAGCAATTGTTTAACTCAGAAGCATAAATCCCACCCCGCCTGGGGACTCACAACAGGAACACGATGTTACATCATTCTTGCTAATGTACATTTCAGGATAGTCAAATGTCAAAAGTGACCTGTTCCATAATTTGGAAGGCTATCCCCCCTCCAAGTAGCAAGTGATTCTCTCGTTCACAAGAAGAGGTTACACACCTTATGCCGTAACTGGAGTTCTCTCAGACATGTCCCCTTATGGGTGCTCCACTTCAAGTGTGCCTGTGCCCTGCAACTTTGACAGGAGATTTTTGGTAGCGGTGCCTATTCAGCCTGTGCATGCACCCCACATATACTTGTGCCCCGCCCCATGGTTACAAAGGGCTATGTGGATGTACCGCCCTCAGTTCCTTCTCCACCGCCAAGTCCCACGAGAGAGACTCCGAAGCAGAGAGAAAGGAGAGTGGGTAATAGAGCATTCACAGGGACACACATCTCAAAGAACTCCAGTTACTGCACAAGTAACAACCGCTCTTCTGTGGGTGCTCAACTTCAGGTGACTCCAAAGGTGTCCTAAGAAGATGGGAGGTTCAGACCAGAGTCCAACAGAAAAAAGAACTGACCTGCCTACAGCAGCATCTGATCTAGCTCTAGGCACCATGGCATAAATATTTAGAAAAACATGTGAACAGAAGACCACGTTACCATTCTATAAGGCTATAAACATCGATTGTGCTCTTGTCCAACGTGATATCACTCTCGAAGTGGGCTGAACAAATCTTAATACAACCGGAGATCCTCTTTGATAACCTGTTTTGAAACAGCCGAACGCTTGTTTCTGTCCGCAATGAGTACAAATAGTCTAGGAAATCTTCTAAATGGTTTGCAGCTGGGTGAGAACATAGAAAAAACAGTTACTTACCTTCTGTAACTGTTGTTCTTCGAGATGTGTTGTTCACGTCCATTACACATTAGGTGTGCGCGCGCCGCATGCACGAACGTCGGAAACTTTTTCCCTCAGCGGCTCCCCATCGGGCCGGCAGGGTCCCCCCTCCCGCCAGAGCAGCGCCCCGCTCTAGCGTATATATATCCCTGCGGGCCCGACCCTCCCTCGGTTCCTTCTTGCCGGTGACTCCGACAGAGGGGAAGGAGGGTGGGAAGTGTAATGGACGTGAACAACATATCTCGAAGAACAACAGTTACAGAAGGTAAGTAACCGTTTTTTCTTCTTCGAGTGATTGTTCACGTCCATTACACATTAGGTGACTCACAAGCTTACCATTGGAGGAGGGTAGGAGTCAAGGAACAATTGATTGAAGCACAGCCCTGCCGACCACCGCGTCCTCTCTGGTCTGATGATGGATCGCGTAGTGGGCTGTGAACGTATGCACCGACCACCAGGTGGTCACTTTACAGATTTCCTGGAGTGGAACCTGCGCCAAGAAAGCCGCCGAGGACGCTTGGGCCCTAGTCGAGTGAGCCCTGATCTCCGGGGCTGGTACGTTGGCGAGCTCATAGCACGTGCGTATGCAAAGCACAATCCATGCTGACAAGCGCTGCGTCGAGATAGGCTGGCCTCTCATTCGCTCCGCAATGGCAATAAACAGTTGAGTTGATTTGCAGAATGGCCTGGTCCGTTCTAGATAAAATGCCAAGGCTCTACGGACATCGAGGGTATGCAGGCTGTGGTGGCTTGGGTCCGTATGGGGCTTAGGGAAGAACACCGGTAAACAAATGTCCTGTCTCATATGAAAATGCGTGACCACCTTTGGAAGGAATTTAGGGTGCGGCCTCAGTTGCACCTTATCCTTATAAAAAACTGTATAAGGAGGTTCCGAAGTGAGGGCTCTCAATTCCGATACCCTCCTAGCCGATGTGATGGCCACGAGAAACTCTACCTTCCATGAGAGGTGCATGAGGGAGCAAGAGGCTAGGAGTTCAAAGGGTGGCCCCATGAGTTTAGTTAGGACCAGGTTGAGATTCCACGCAGGGACTGGCGGGCGCGAGTAGGGAAACACCCTCTCCAGCCCCTTGAGGAATCGGACTACTGTGGGGTTGGAGAACACCGAAACGCCCAACTCCCCAGGGTGGAACACCGACATGGCAGCCAGATGCACTTTAATTGAGGCGGGGGTGAGCCCTTGATGCTTGAGGTGCAGCAAGTAGTCCAGAATTGATGGGACTGAGGCCTGCAGAGGCTGTACGTGATGAGGCTCACACCAGTGGGAGAACCTCTTCCATTTGGCAAGGTAGGTCGCTCTTGTGGAGGGCTTCCTACTACCAAGGAGAATTTGCTGGACCTGGTGGGAGCACCTGTGCTCCGTATCGTTTAGCCAGAGAGATACCACGCCGTGAGATGTAGCGACGGTAGGTTCGGGTGGAGTAGGCGACCCAGGTCCTGTGTGATGAGGTCACGATGGAGGGGGAGGGCGATCGGGGCAGTCACAGACAGTTCCAGCAGGGTCGTGAACCAGTGCTGGCGTGGCCACGCCGGGGCGATGAGGATGACTGCCGCCTTGTCCCTGCAGGTCTTGAGGAGGACCTCGTGGATGAGCGGGAATGGAGAGAAGGCATACCTCAGGCTCCCGCCCCACGGAATCACGAAGGCATCTGCCAATGAGCCCGGGCTGAGGTTCTGGAATGAACAAAACTTAGGGCATTGGCTGTTGCCCTTGGTGGCGAAGAGATCCACCTGGGGAAACCCCCACCTCTGGAAGATTGAATGCAGGACGTCCTGTCTCAACGTCCATTCGTGCATGTGGTAGGACCGGCTGAGGCGGTCTGCTAACCCGTTTTGGACCCCTGGGAGATATGTTGCGAGTAGGTGGACTGAATGGGCTATACAGAAGTCCCATAGGAGGAGCGCCTCGTGACAGAGGGGAGAGGATCGGGACCCGCCCTGCTTGTTTATGTAGAACATGGCGGTAGTGTTGTCCGTCAGAACTGACACGCTGTGGCCTTCTATGGTAGCGTGAAAGGTCTGGCAGGCGAGGCGAACCGCCCTTAACTCCTTCAGATTGATGCGAAGCAACTTTTCTTCCCTGGACCATAAGCCCTGGGTCCGCAGGTCCCCCAGGTGCGCCCCCCAACCCAGGTCCGACGCATCTGTTACTAACGTCAGAGTGGGTTGCGGGGTGGTGAAAGGGACCCCTTCGCAAACCTGCTGCTGATCGAGCCACCAGCGGAGGGAGTTCGACACCCAAGCTGGGATTGTCACTACCAGGTCTAAGGGGTCTCTGTTGGGGCGATACGTTTGGGCCAGCCACAACTGTAATGGCCTGAGTCTTAGGCGGGCATGTCTGACTACATGTGTGCAGGCCGCCATGTGCCCCAAGAGTTGCATACAGCATCTGGCCGTGGTCGTGGGGAATTGTTGGATGGAGCTTACGACCCTTTGAATGGCCAAGAACCGTGACACTGGAAGACTTGCCCGTGCCGCCACCGAGTCCAGGACTGCCCCTATGAAGTCCAGTCTCTGCGTGGGGATCAGTGAGGACTTGGGCACATTGACCAGTAGACCGAGCTTGCGGAACACCTGTAGTGCCAGCATCACGTGGGGGCGGACCTTGGCCGCTGACCTGCCCGCGAGGAGCCAGTCGTCCAAGTACGGGTATACGCGCATCCTTCTTTTCCGAAGAAAAGCTGCCACCACGGACATGCATTTTGTGAACACTCGCGGGGCCATTGCCAGGCCGAAGGGCAAGACCGTAAATTGAAAATGGTGCTGGTTGATGGTGAAGCGCAGGAACCGCCGGTGGGTCGGGCGGATGGCGATATGAAAATACGCATCTTTCATATCGAGGGCAGCGTACCAATCCCCCGGATCCAGGGATGGGATAATAGCGCCAAGGGAGACCATACGGAAACGTGCCTTAACCAAAAATTTGTTTAGTGCGCGTAGGTCCAAAATGGGACGGAGGCCCCCTTTTGCTTTGGGAATGAGGAAGTATCTTTCCCCGTTAGGTCCGGAGGAACCTCTTTCACTGCTCCTACTGTGAGGAGGGTCCGCACCTCCTGCATGAGGAGTTGCTCGTGAGAGGGGTCCCTGAAGAGGGACGGGGATGGGGGGTGGGAGGGAGGGGGCGAGGAGAACTGAAGGGTGTAGCCCGCCTCCACCGTGCGCAGGACCCAGCGGTCCGATGTTATATGTGACCAAGCACGGTAAAAATGGGACAGGCGGTCCCTGAAACATAGAGGGGGATCCGGAATAGAGTTTGGTACGCTGTCCTCGATCGCAGCTTCAAAACCCTTGCTTATTTCCCAGCTGCGGCTTGCCTTGGCCATGATTTTGGCCCTGGTTAGACGTGTTGTTACGTCTACACCTGTTATCCCTGCCCCTTCTGCGGTACGGTTCCTGTCTAGGACGAGGGTGGTACTGCCTCTGCGGTGGTTGGGGCTTAAAGGGTTTCCTCTGTGTCACTGGGGTGTGCATTCCCAACGACTTGAGGGTTGCTCGAGAGTCTTTGAGGCTATGTAGTCTGGCATCCGTCTGGTCCGAAAACAAGCCTGAGCCCTTGAACGGAAGGTCTTGGAGGGTGTTTTGCACCTCTGGGGGAAGGCCGGAAGCCTGTAGCCATGCCGAGCACCTCATTACTACTCCTGACGCGATTGTCCTAGCAGCTGCATCCGCGGAGTCAAGGGAGGCCTGTAGAGAGGTTTTGGCTACTGCCTTCCCTTCGTCCACTATAGCCGCAAACTCAGGTTGTGAGCCCTGAGGCAGGGATTCCTTAAACTTGGAGACTGATGCCCAAGAATTGAAGTTGTGTCTGTTCAGAATCGCTTGTTGGTTAGCGATCCTCAACTGGAGGTCCCCGGACGAGTAGACCTTTCTCCCAAATAAGTCCAAGCGTTTTGCCTCCTTGGCCTTGGGGGCCGGGGCTTGCTGGCCATGTCGCTCTCGTTCGTTGACCGCAGAGACGTCCAGCGAACAGGGTGTTGGGTGAGAGAAGAGGAAGTCGAACCCTTTAGATGGGGCGAAGTATTTCCTCTCCACGCCTTTCGCAGTTGGTGCACTGGAGGCCGGTGTTTGCCATACTGTTTTGTAGTTGGACTGGACCGTTTTTATGAGCGGGAGCGCGATCCTGGAGGGGCCCTCCGGGCTTAGGATGTCGACCATGGGGTCCTCCTGCTCTACCTTCTCCTCCGCCTGCAACCCCAGATTGAGGGCTATTCGTCGGAGCAGTTCCTGGTGCGCTCGATGGTCAATCGGGGGAGGGCCGGACACTGTTGTGCCCGCCACGGCTTCGTCTGGTGTGGAGGAAGAGGTCAGGGCCTTTTGCGCGTCTTCCTCTTCCTGCAACTCCTCACCAACTGGGCGCTCCTCTGGAGCCCGTTCTATGACGTGGGTCTGAGACGGTGCCGGGCTCGGTGCCGAGTCCGCCCTTTCTCGCTCCGGTGGCCTGGAGACCGTGGCCTCCTTGCAAGAGGGTGGGCGCCACTGCGAAGAGTGGAACCGGTGTCCCGAGGACCCAGATCTCGAGGTCCTGGATGGGGGGCCTTGCTGGTGGTAGGCCCAATGGGTCCAGAATGGCCATTGTCCTGGCTGGCCCCATTGTGGGTGCCAAGCGGCTTAGTGTTCCCTACTGGCCTGTGCCCTGTGGGCATATCTGCTGGACCGGCCCGAGTCTGCCTCTGAAACCACGGACGGTGATCTGGAAGGCCACGGCGGTGCCGTGGGACGGTGCCGGTCTGGGGTCAGAGAGTAGTGCCTCCGGGACTGGGAGTAGCGTCTTGCCAACCTGGATCGGTACCGGTGACCTCGGGACCGGGAACGACTGCGGGTGGTCGGTCTCGGGGATCATGTAACTGACACGTCCCGGTGCCTACTCGAGTAGGGCTGCTGGGTCGGTGCCGGGCGCTTATTGGGGCCCAACGGCTGTGCGGCTCTCTGCGCGGAGGGAAGCCGGGAGTCCACCGAGGCGGAGCTCAACTGGGACCGGCGCCGTGAACGGTGCCGAGATGGTGACCGTGATGGGCGCACCATTGCCGGCTTGCCTCTGGATGGCAGTCGCGGCGGATTGTCTTTAGTTTGGAGGGGGCCCTCAGCGGACAACTCAATGAGGTCCTTTGCTGCCTCAAATGTGTCTGGGGTGGAGGGCTGTTCCAAAAGCTCCTCCAGCCCTTCCTCCTCACTCGACGCGCCTATCCCGGGGCTCGACAGGCCTTTCGGCGCCGGAGCCACTGTCACCGGGATCTGTGCCGGGGCCGCAACGGCCTTAGGCACACTCAAGGTCTTCGCGGGCGCTACTCTCTTATGCGGGGAGCGTCCTCGGGCCTTGGGTTGGCCCTTCGATTTTGCCGGCGAAGACGACCGATGCCGGAGGTGTTCCCGCTGATTCGGTGCCGTGGGCTTAGGGTGCCCCGCCGGCGCCGGATCACGGACCGATGCCGGGGCACTCCGCCCTGAGGTTGACGGTGCCGTCGAAGTGGAGGGCTGTAACGCCGTCTCCATGAGCAGCTGCTTAAGGCGAAAGTCTCTCTCTTTCTTAGTCCTGAGCTTGAAAGCCTTACAGATCTTGCAGCGCTCTTTTTGGTGTGCTTCCCCCAGGCAATGGAGACACGAGTCATGTGGATCATTTAATGGCATAGGTTTGCGGCACGTGGCACAAGCCTTGAAGCCTTAGGCGTGCGGCATGCCCCGCCGCCCAGGGCCGGTGCCGGGGTTGACCAAACACCTAACACAAAGAAGTTTAAGTATTTCTAAAGAACTGATAACTGTAAAGATAACACTAACTACTACGCTAAGGGACACTCTCAGACGAGAGACAGAGTTGTTCCAACGCCGCCACGGACGGTAAGAAGGAACTGAGGGAGGGTCGGGCCTGCAGGGATATATAGACGCTAGAGCGGGGCGCCGCTCTGGCGGGAGGGAGGACCCTGCCGGCCCGACGGGAGCCGCTGAGGGAAAAAGTTTCCGACGTCCGTGCACGCGGCGCGCGCACACCTAATGTGTAATGGACGTGAACAATCACTCGAAGAAGAAACTCTGGTTCCATGGCAGGGACATAATATTTTTCCCTCCACCCTCTTGCAGGTAGGTAGTGCTGTAGCTGGTGTTTGCCAAACAGTCTTGGCAGGCTCCATAAGAGCTTCAGTGCCCAGAATGGCAAGCCTCATAGATTTCAAAGTTTGCAAGGTATCCAGGAGTTTATGGTGGGACACCTGAAACACCTCAAAGAGAATCTGCAGCATGCCCGCAATTCGCTTCATCAGTTCTTGAAACTGCCTGAAGTCATCTGCCACAGGAGGAGGTGGAGGCATCACAGCTTCATCAGGTGATGAGGAAGAAATATTAGTAAGAGGAGTCATCTCCTTATCCCTCCCTTCCTTTCTGCTCCTCGCAGGTCTCTTCCTCTGGCATAGGTGGTGGAATAGGAGGTTGAGGAGAATGGGCCCTTTCCTGCTCCCTCCTGTGGTGTGATAATTTCTTTGTAAATTGTTGCTTTGTAAAATGAGGCCATGGATGGGCGTCACTTGAAGTTTATTCTCCTGTATTACGTCAGTGGAGGAGGGACAGCAATGTGTCCTAGAATAGACTGGGGAACCCTGCACTGATATTTAAGAGTCAGAAATATCCTCTTCCACGTACTCCAATGCGGGGAAAGGGGTGGAGGGGCAGCGGCATAGCTGTCCGGCTTGCAAAGACGATGAGGGCAAGTATGGTACTCCAGGCGTTGGTGACCAAGAGAGAGTCTCGATGCTGACAAACCACCCCCCCACCCCCGCTTATTAAGAGATGAGGCACTGGCTCCCAAGATAATAGCAGGTCTTTAGGGTACCTAAATTCTTGTAGTACTGATGGTATAAAAGATAGGTTTGAGCAAGAACCTGTGGAAGACGGCTTTTTGCCGATGAAGCTGGTACCAAACATTTGGCATAGGAGTAAGTCAACTCAGATTCCATTGGTACCACAGGTAGCTGAGCGGTCTTTGTTGACTGTCATGCTACCGGTACTCAGTGCTGCTTAGGGACAGGCTTAGAACTTTTTTCACCAGTGTCTCTGCTGCTCTGGATACAGGTACCTGAATTCAGTACCGTGTCTGTCTTAGACAACTGCCTCCTATTCATCTTTGTGGTACCAGCATCACTCGGAGCTTGAATAGAACTCCCCTTGGGACCCGAGGTCTCTGTAGTAGTCATCTGCATTGGTGATGAAGATTTTCTTGGTGATTTACTCTTTACTGCCTTCTGCTTCGAGGCAGATGTTGAGGCTACCTCTATAGAGGACTTATGTACCTTAGATGTACTAGTTGCTGCAGTGCCGTCTCTCTCTTTAGGGATCTCTGGTGACTGAGATCTTGATGTGAACAGGGCACTAGTGGTACTGGAGGTCTGTGCGCACAGGGGTCCTCCACTCCTGGAGCTGGTTGTAAAGTTTGCTCCATCAGCCAGAGTTTTAACTTGATTTCCCTATTTTTTGGGAATCTCCCCTTGAACGAAGCACAGATCTTGCACTGGGGATGTGTCTACCTCCCAAATAACAAAGGCACAGGGAGTGTCCGTCACTGATGGCAATCACCTCACCACAGGAGAGAGACCTTTTGAATCCCAGCAAACCTGGCATTCCTGCATAATATAACAAAGAGAACCCCTAGAAGGGAAAAAGCTCTTAACTTATCTAAAGCTACCTAGCAATAAAGTTTTTTGGGGGGGACAGGTAACTGACTAATTATCGAATACTATGGCAAACAGGCACACAGTAGACTCAGTCTCTGGCCAAAGACGGTTGAGAAGGAACTAAGGCCTGTTGGCCTGTGCAGCCCCATATAGCCTCGGCACAAGTCACGAGGGTGTGTGGGTGCATGCACATGCCGAATGGGCACTGCTACCAAAAATCTCTGATCAAAGGTGCAGGCACACCTGAAAAGAAGCACACACAGGGACACTACTCAAAGAAGAACAGCACTGGCTCCTGTTCCTCACGGCCTACCTTTTGAAAAGTTGAGTGAAAGCTAATGGCTGAACACAAGCTGAATAGCTCACTATTCCTAACACGTCCATCTACCAAACAAAGGTTTCAGAGAACCTACAGGAATTCTAGACCAAAAATGTAAGTAAGTACAGGTCTGTCTCATCTTACGCTGGGGTTACGTTCCGCAGTCAGCGCCTAAAGCGAAAATCGCGTATAGTCAAAATTACATTGAATGTAATGGCGGGCGGAATCGCCCGCACTACAGAAACAGTATTTAAATTGTTATTTTTCTCTTTTTTTAGTTTTTTGTTTTTGCCGACCACGTAAAGCTGAAATCGTACATGTTAAATGCACCTAAGATGTGACAGACCTGTATACCCAGAGCCATTGAAGGTAGCTGCAGAAGTCGAAGTTTCACAAAACAATGATGAAGTTGCTGGTTAATGAAGCAGGGAGAGCGGAAACTAAAAATGTTTTAAATAATTGCCCACTTTAGTTACAGTATTCTTAACCTAGTATTCATTGTAAACCACCAGAGGGCGCTAATGAATAATCTCCTATGCCAAAAAAACAGCTCTACCTTTTTGTTTTGGACTGTGGATTGTTTTAAAACAAGAGGCAATGTCAAGTTAGAAGCAAATTAAGTCTTCTCCATGAGACAGAGGAATGTCTTGTTGTTAACTGCAGAATATATACCAAGGTTTATTAAAATTAACACTTTTACTGGACACTGGGTCAGATTTACTAACTCTCAGTATCTGGGACACATCTGATTGTATATAGGACACGCACCTGACCGCCCTCTCCCCGCCCCGCATCAGCTAGCGAGCAGGAGTTTATATTACAATCAATTATGCAGCTCTTACCTGTTCTGACTCCTCGTCACTGATGTTCGTCCTACCCAACATGGTAGCTTTAACAGTGGAGAGGATTTTGAGTTGTGTGCTGATGGTTGGGATTCGCTCACAGACCTAAGGAGTCGGGAAGATGCATCACTTTAGTTTTTTAACTCGAATCAATTGATATTCCATTTTTAAATGGAAACTAAGATTTTGCTGAACTCTACAGTAGTTTCTCTTTGCTGATGGCTCAGGTACAAAACATACAATGTACATGTAAACTTCAAGGGTACCTTGCATGATATCACTGAAGACATGTTTACATGAACACTTACTCCGGCAAGCTGGGTTGGAAATCTACAGTGCTCCAGCATGCTATGCACTAACGCACCATGTGGACCCTGCTGCCACACACTAAAAGTTCCCTAGAGCGCATTGATGTACTGTGGTTTGAAACAGCACAATGTCAAAGTGCACTCAGGAACTTTTAGCAAGTGTCAGCAGGAACCATGTGAACAGTTAGTGCCCAGCACACTGGAGTGCTATAGATTTACACTCTAGTTTGCTGCGCCCTAATTGTTCTTGTAGACATGAGCTAAGGCACTGCAACTTAATTCCCATTCCTTCCTGATAAGCTTGGGTGACCATTCTAGCAATGTGGATCTTCACTAAAGCAGAATTCACTTTTCCTTTGTCCCAAATCTTCTTTCAACCGTCTGTGTCATCAGGAATGGGGGATGGGATTTGGGGCTGTATTGGTTTATGCTATTGCCAATACCCTATGACTTGATAAGGCTATGTGGATGGCCAAGGTGATAAGCGACCAGTCTAGCAATGTCTATGACATTCATGGAATTTTCAAAGTCTCTCTTACAGGACACTGACATGTCTTCTCCCATCGGAATAAAAGGACCTGATCTTGCAAAGTGAGAGTGGAAGAAAATCAACATTTCACATACTTGGGCCTCAAGACTCACAAAAGCAGGGATAGGGAGCCAAGGGGATCCACAGGTGACTCTCAGCCAAAAAATAAACTCACTCTCCAGCCTTGAGCCATACTGAAGGAGCAGGACACAGGAAGGAAAGTGGTATGTGCATTATTTTAAAGTTAGCCCAGTTTATTACCTGCAAGAGGTTTGTTCTAATGCGCTTGTCGGTGCACTGCTTTGCCACCTCCTTGGCCAATCGAGTCACTTCATCTGATGCTTTAGCAATATCCTTGGCACACTGAATAAGGGCACGCTTGTTTCCACTGACACCTCTCACTAGGCGGGACATCTCTGCCATCAGCAGAGCCATTCGCTTTGCAGCAGCAATTATATCATTACCCTGCAGGGAACAAATATAACAATGAATGTTAGACACAAAAAAGGTAATATAATTACACCTGAACTGTAATCCACACTCACTAACAAACCCTTTCATTAAGTCAAGGAAGAAAGAACAATTCAAGTCTATTGAAAAAGATTCTTCATAAGGAGCACTGAAGATTTGTACAAATGTTTGTGAAATACTTTCCCCTCCAACACTCAATGAAAACGTTTCAAAACTGAAAAGAAAAAAAAAATGGTGATCAAAGTGATACTTTGTCCCTGGAGTGGAAGTGACTAGGATTTTAAGACCAAGTGTGTTCAAGTGTTATAGACATTCTAGATTTCCCCAATAAAAGCAGCATTACTGAAAACACAAGTGCCAATTAAAAAAAAGTAAGTTAAACCAAACAGTACCAATTCTCTGAAGTTAAATAATCTACTATGAACAGCTGAACATAAAATTTTAAATGGCATCTGAAACTGAATCATGAAAATCTGTCAACTACACTACCACTTTATAGTATCCACAGAAGACAATGGGAATTCTAAAGTGGAAACCGTTTGTTAAAATATTTTTTCCTTCCAGTTGGCCATCTTTGCTAGTTTTCTCATAAAAATAGCAAAATATGTATCTGATTTTTAACCAAAGAAGAAAAGCTCCGATAGATTACCTTTTAATGCTTAACCAACTCTTCTCCTAGAGATGTTGTTTCAAAGGGGAGTTTATTTTTCAAGTGAAATTATAGTAAAATACTTTTGAGAAGTATTTGTCATTGGTGACATATATGCATGACTGAGGCAAAAAGTATTTTGTCCTCAGTTCCAAAGTCAATACCAGGTGCAAGAGAAGTCAAATCACTGAGATGAACTGTTAGTATATTCTGTCTCACTTTTATAATAAATGCTAGATTTGTGAAATATTCACATTTGTGGATAAAGTGAGGTGTTAGCATGGTGAGCTGACAAAGCAGAACAAAAATACAGCTCCCTATGTACAATTCTTTTTTGAGCAAAAAGGTGTTAATCCTTGGGTAGTAACATGTAGAAAGTCTGTCGCAAAAAATACACACTGAAAACCTGATTCAGTGAATATGTTTCCTACCTCCATGGATATTCCCTCCAGGGTTTGGTGCCATTAAATTTAAAGATATCCCGAATATGTCATTGCAGGTTGCATAGTGAGATCATATAAAAAGATTTGTTACTTGTTATCATAAATTTAAACAGTTTGCTAATCCACTATGCCATTTCTAATCCATTAAAGAAAGAGGTGACAGAACAGGCAACTTTTTAATTCATTCGTAAAGAGGGATAAAGTAATTAGGAATATTCAATAACATCATTTGTTAAACCCTCTAATTATCTAGCACTAGAATCTGAAAAGGACAGGAATTTTTTTTTGAAAGCCCTTTCTATTAAAAATGAATGACTGACCACATATGACACACACACTGGAGAGCAACAACCTTACATATCTTGAAGCATGCCGGTTCCACAATGAAGTAAGTGACCAGCCTTGCAAAAACTTGTGTTTAGATACAAGAGTGTACTTGTGAATGTCTGAACTGCAGCTTAGCTCTCCATTGGTACCATATAAACAGTTTTGATCGCAGCAACTAATGCATTCAGTGCAGGTTCTTTAAAAGGAGTTCTCTCATCCAAGCCAGCATTTGCAGTACAGCCAAGTGCAAGTCAGCAGAAAGTCCTCCTTGATAACACTGCCATACAAAGCCATTCCTTGTCATACAGATTTTAGTTGAAGCCGTCAATAGAGGCAAAGCACAACAGACATGTTAAATGACTTCTTGAATGACTTAGGTTCTGTTATTATCTGGAAGTCATTGAGAAACCAACCATGGCTTCACAGGTGATCAGAAAAACGCCTTTTATATTTTTGAATACTGCCATATGCAGAAAGATAGGCAGATGCAATCAAAAGGAAAAGAAGCCTCTTTATTCTAAAAAGTGACCCAAAAATCACGCTGAAATCTGACATTGACAGACCTACCGAACTTGTGAAGCCACTCTCAATCCTTAAAATGAAGTGCAGGCAAACGTTTATTCACTCAGACTCATGGGGCCCAGCAAGTATCAAGAGTGATGCAAATGTGTCAGCGTTCCAAATGGCTGGATGCACACAGATCAGTTGCCAATGGGAAACTGAGGAGTACCTTACTAGACCACTTGGTTGCTTCCCGATGCAGAGACTGAGCAGCGGCCAGAATGGGCTGGTTAACAGGCTGACTGGTTGGCATTAACAGCAGCTCAGGCTCGTAATCATCTTCAGTGTCAGAGGGGAGAGTGAATTCAACATCATCTGCATCCTCCTGCTCATCTACATCTACATCAGCCTCAGCGGCTTCATTAACCTCAGTCACACCAGGCTTTGAAAGTGGCAGGGAGATTGGAGAAACAGGGACAGTTAGTATTAGAAGCAGGATTTGGTAAAAGAGCTAAGCTGGTTTAGTAATCAAACAACCTCTTGGTCTATGAAAGGAAAATGAAAGCAATCCAAGGATCAGCAGAAAGGGGGCCAACCATTTCACCTGTGAACCAGTATTACTAAGAAATTAAGGAGAGAAAAAGTTAGGATTATTTGAAAGATGTGGAAAGAAATATTGTTCAGATGAGTACACATGATTTATCTTATGCATTTCAAGGAAATCTGAATTTCAGAACAACATTTTCTGGCAAGACAACGATGGTATAATTTTTTTTTTTTTTTAAATATGCCAATGAGACTAGAAAAGCATGCATAGCAGACAAGGACCCAGTACTGATGAAAACAAACTTTGCCTGTGGATGTGGTTTCACATAAGGATGTCTGGATGGGATAAGAATAGGCTGAGGTAATACAGCTGCCAGATACTGCTTTCTGTTCCCTTAGGGCATGGCTACACTTGCAGATGTAGAGCGCTGTGAGTTAAACCCGCCTTTGGAGAGCACACTAGGGAAAGCACTGCAGTCTGTCCACACTGACAGCTGCTTGCGCACTGGCATGGCCGCACTTGCAGCGGCATTGGGAGCGGTGCATTATGGGCAGCTATCCCAGCATGCAAGTGACTGCAACGTGCTTTTCAAATGGGGGGGGAGGGGGAGTGTGACAGGGAGTGTGTTGTGTATATGTGGGGGGAGAGAGAGTGGGGTTTTGGAGGGCTGAGAGCATGTCAGCATGCTGTCTTGTTAGTCCAGACAGCAGCAGACCCCCCCGACCCTCATCTCTCTCTCTCTCTCACACACATACACACACACACACACACACAGCATTCCACACTAATGCTTCCATGCCAGCTGTCAGAAACGGAGCTTTGAAAGGGCATTTCCGCATTCCTACAGGAGTTCAAAACAATGACAAGAGTGGCCACTTGACTTAAGGGGATTATGGGACATTTCCGGAGGCCGATCAGAGCGCAGTAACCCAACACCTCGTTCACACTGACGCTCGTGCATTGCAGCCAAGGCACAGCAAAAGTTATTCCTCTCGCCGAGGTGGAGTACCAGCAGCGATGTAGCCGCGGAGACAGAGCGCTCTACGTGCCTTGCCAGTGTGGACGGGGAGTGAGCTAGGGCACCCAGGGCTCCTTTATTGCGCTGTTACTCACAACTGTAGCCAAGCCCTTAGAGAAGTAAAGAAAAGAATTAACAACAGAGGAGTAGCAGGATTGGAAATGAAGGGCTATCAAGAGTACACAGAGAACAAAAAAGATTAAAGGGAAAGGAGATCGTTCTTGGTAAATGAAGTTATTAGTGTTTGTTATCAGACTGAAAATGGAGTTAGTAAAACAAAGCACTGTGAATAAGAATGTTTAGAGTACAAAGGGATTATGAAGAGGACTATATTGTTTTGCCATAATGTTGCAATTACCTTTTTATGTGTGAAAAAATGACGATTTAATGCCTACAGTGCAGAGTGTGGAGAGGAGATACCTAAGAAAACAATGTCACAGCATATTTTGCATGGAATGTTACCATAGCCAACACTTCCAAGACCATTGCATTATACAAAATTACTAATCACATTCTTCATACCAGATGAAGAGAGTGAAACAAGCCAAACAATCCTTATCAAGAAGGTATGTATTTTCTAATGTGCCTTGTCTTTAAGGCAGGCCTTTTATGGACAAAATCTACACGAGAAAAACATTGAAAGAGAAAAGCTATAATTTAAACTCAGTAAGTGACTCATCTTAAAAAAAAATCTTAGTCATGCAGAGCATCTTTCAGACATTACACAATATAAGCCCCTTTTGATTGATGGGTTTTATAATTCTTTATACTGAAGCGTAATTTAACTCTCAAACCCGAATGCCAAAGCTATCCTGATATAGATAATGTAGAGGCAGAAACTGTGCATTTGGGGAAACTGACCCACGTGGGCTTATGGACCCTCCATAAGACATTACGGAGGTGAGAGAACTCCAGGGTTTGCCCAGTGAAAAATGACATTTGTAAAAAGATTAAATTGGTAACTTTTGAGTCTTATAAAGACAGAGCATTAAAAAGCCTGTTAAAAAAATATTAAGCATTCCCCTCTTCCTTCCCCGCCCCCCCCATACAAAAAAGATATAGACGCGTCTGTTTGTGACAATAAAACCCCAGGAAAACACAAAAGTGAAAGATTGGCTTTGTGAACAGAGAGCCTGCCTCAGCCTGAAGTCCGGCAGGCTTGGGATGAGCTGGACCTTGTGTCTCATGATCTGTCAAGTCCCACACACCATGCTCAGTGCCTGCCATGCTAGATTTTCTCCAAAAGAGAAGGCCACCTCCTGTGGCTGCAGTGGAAAGTTAAAGACTCATCTTTTAAATACACCTCTACCCCGATATAACGCGACTCAATATAACACAAATTCGGATAGAACACAGTAAAGCAGTGCTCGGGGGGGGGGGCTGTGCACTCCGGCGGATCAAAGCAAGTTCGATATAACGCGGTAAGATTTTTTGGCTCCCGAGGACAGCATTATATCGGGGTAGAGATGTAGCTTCTCTGAGGATCATTACTGCTCAAAAGAAAGCATTTTAAAATTAAACCCAGAGCAAATCCAGGATGGTATCCATGATCTGCAGGGAAGAACGGGAGCAGGGGACACACACCATGGGACATTGCAGTTTCCTGAAGTTGTACCCATGGGACCAGCTTGCTTTGCAGCTGGTGTGACTTTAAAAGCATGAACGAAGGATGAAAAGTTAGACTTCAATTTCCTGGTTTTGTTGGTTTGAATCACTTTTCTTGAAAAGTTCTGAAAATATTGTTTTGTAATCCAGAGACCCCAGAGTTTAGGCTCATGCTAAAAACAGGAGAAGTTGTACATTGTTATTTTTTTTAAGCTGTATTGGTGTTTTGCTCTCGTAGGTAAATATTTTAGTAGGCATATTACTTAACATATAATCTACATATAGTAAACAAATATTTCAGTACTTATTGTATTTAATTGGATTGTCAGCTTTAATATCCAAACCACTAAGCACTTTCTGAAAAGTGCAAATTATAACCTATTGTTCCTCAAAATTACCTTTTAAGATGATTAACACGATAAAGGAGTAATCCTTTTGGGATATAAACACACAATAAAGCAAGCAGAAAAATATACTGAACTTCTCATGTAAAACACAGTTTTAGTCAGAAAAGTGGCTCCAAAATGGATTTGCGGGGTTTCTTGTTTATTACATCAATGATCCAGATCAATTTTCCTCATTTTACAAGTAAAGAGGCCTTTTCCAACTCAGTGCTCCTAACTCATTAGAATCTGTTTTCTGGTTTACATATCATCCCAAACAATGGCAATGCTGCAGACCAAATTCTGGCCTACAAGTTACACCTGTGGAAGCCCACACCTGCTGCCTAGAATGGGCTTTTTACAGCTGCAAACGAGGGCAGAATTTGTCTCTATAATTGTAACATAGCTAAAAACTTACATTGATGTGCAAGCCAGAATAGACTCAGTGTGTGCAAGTGTGACTGAATAAAAAGGAGTGAGGTGGTCCCATTTTTATACTGTCACTTTGACCATAACTGCACCTTACAAGCTTTAAAAATAATTTCTACGCAGTACATTTATACAGCTATTGTAGAAAGGTTCTCCCCAGAATTAACACAACCCAGCTCACAAGTGCTGCAAGTTTCACTTTTCCTATGTATGGAATTTTAATGCGCCAAGCATTAACTCCCAATTCAGTGCTAAATTTTAACCCTTTAAACTGAATGATCTTTGACCCCAAAGCCATACAATGGCTTTTAATAATAAGGTGTCTTAACAAAATAGTACCTTCCTAGAGGGGTAGGGGTTATTTTAAACAAAGATGATACATCTTCTAGAAACAGATGGCTCAGGAGGAGAAGAGTTAAATGGATGAGCTACCTACAGTTACCCAATCTAGCCTGACTGGTTCGTTTCTGTGATGTCCACCAGAACTACTTATAGTTGTTTTAACGTAGTTGTCAGTTTCCTACCTTAAAAGGGCAAAAAATATCAATGGTTCTGTGACATACTAACCAGCTTTGATGACCACAAACACAAAGTGAGCATGGAAGGCAAATCCATGTTTACACAGAATGTAAGTGCATTATAGTAGCTCTCCACATAAGAATGACCTTGAGAGAAGCTGTTCTGCTATTTTATGTTTTGAAGGTAAAAAGCTTCTAATTTCTCCAGCAGCAATGATTCAAGAATAGCTATCCAGTGGATGGCTATAAACATTCAAACTGAGTGGCTTCACAAATTCAGGGATGTTATAATCAAGGGCCTGTCTACTTCACAACAAGCCTGGCCTAATTCTGTGGCAATACTCTTGCCTTCTGCAGTCACATTATAGCAGTGAGGAGATTCTGTGGCATCTTCCAACTGCATTTTCATATTTAATTTAAAAAAACCTAATTATAATTGTACCCTTTGTTTCGTGTAATATTAAATTGCATTTATTTTATTCTGCCCCCAACATTTACATTTTCAGCGCACTCCAGAACTTAGGATATGTCTACTGAAGTGCAGCTGCAGCTACACCACTGTAATGTAGATACTTCCCTTCTGTTGCTTTAGTGTGTTTATTCCAGTTGCTGTAGTAAATCTATCCTCTCAAGAGGAAGTAGGTAGGTCAATGGAAGAATTCTTCCATCAAACTAGCTGTATTTACAGCAGGAGTTAGGTCGACCTAATTACATCACACAGGGTGCAAAATTTTTCACAGCCCTGAGCAATGTAGTTAGGTTGACCTAAGTTTTAGGTGTAGATCAGTGCTTAGCAGTACAAATGTATAAATTCTATTATAAAAGGAGGTCAGGAGAAAGCAGGAAGTTTTGCAGCTGGAGAAGGGGAAAATAGGAGGTGGTTCCAGCATCTGAGAAGCAGTGGAAGGCAGTCTGGGTTTGTGGGATTAGCATATTAATTTGGCATGTTAACCAGTTCACTAGCATTTAATGATATTACCACTGAAATATGCATCATTAGTTTTCAAAATTAACACCCCATGGAGGCATATGGAGCATATCATGTCTCGCAGAGCCATTTTTTAGGGATTTACACACATCATTAAATTGACTCCTAGTCTGAGAAGTATAAAAGGTTGGAAAAATGAAAGCCTGTAATCTTCAGCATAATGCTGTGACAAATATCCAGCTGTTTAATCATGGCATACACGGAATCCCATCTACAATGCTTCGTTTTATCCCAGAAAATGAAAGGAATGCCAACAGCTGACTTTGGACAGTCAAGCTCATGATTGGTCCTGGAGAATGATTCTAATTTCTTTCAGTCCTAGATCTTTGACTATTATTTCTAATTTCCAGAGATAAACACCTTTCTTACATTAGTTGTTAAGAGTCAATAGAAACAAGCCCTTTTATACACTTCACTTACCTTGCTAGACCATTTTCGGGCTTCATCGTGTAGCTGCCTAGCAGCCATCATCATGGGCTGATTAATCACTTCTCCCGCTTTCTGCTCTGGGAACTCTTCATCCTTCTCTTCGGGAGGAGGTGGTCTGGGTGGTGGAACTTCACCCTCTGGAAGGGGTGGTTTTGGAGGCGCAAGTTCATCAGTCAGCTAAGCAAGAAAGGAATATATTCTGTACACTTGAAAATATACTGGCACAAAACATGGTACCAGGTTGTTAGACATCTGCAGGACAATGAGGAGCTCATGCTGTCTCACATTTAAAGGACTCTCCATCACAAGAAAAGTACGTTCACAGTAGTTTACGCCTTTTCACACTGAAGGCTGGCCCGCTAAGTTTCTGGTGCTGACCGGCCAAATACAACTACCATTTTTATTTAAAGAATAAAACAAATGTTTTCCATTTGGTCAAAATCAATACTTCTCCTCTACCTTAAACTCAAATCATTGCCCTGGACTTATGGCCTCTGCTTAATAGAAAGAGTAGGCCACCTCCATATAAATTCACAGGGGTCCCTTTTCTCCCAAAAGCACATTGCATGATCCATGTAGCCAGAGATATAAATGGATCCAAAAGGATTCATTTTAGAGGGGCAGGGGAAGAGTGGCATGAAAGTGGCATGAAAAGCCTATGCTATTCCCTTGTCTTGTAGTTAGAATATGTTCTGTGGCTTACCTCTCTGAGTGCTGTTTTACACTAGATGAGGTTTAAACTAAACCATATCACAGGCAAAAGTATGGGAGATCATAACGAACATGAACTAGTGGGTAGAATTTGAGGCTTCCCCACTCCTCACTACATGAGACAAAGCACATAAGAGTGAGGTGATGATATTTCTAATCATTTTATTTGCTAAGACTAAAATTACAACCATTGCGCTGAAAGACATTCTCTTTAGAAGATGAAGTTAACTTCTGTATTTCCTGTTTGAAAGTCCTGTCACTTAAGAAACATGGATCTATAAAGCAAACAATGGACTGGGGTCTAGCTGTCTCAAAGGTTGCCTCTCTCCCTCTTTCTGCTTCAAGAAGGGTTCTGTGATGTTTGCACCTCATCCAAAGTCCACTGACGTCAATGAAAGTCTTCCATTGACTTCAGTGGTCTTTATATCAGGCTCTTTGATGAAGTGCTTCAATCTTAAATTAAGTAATTACGCTAGCTTCTAAAAAAGGACCACCAAAACTATTTAAAGTGAAAAGAAGTCCAGTACATCCCAACAGGACTCTACCTGAACTGAAGTGTCTCTGGAAAAAAAAAAAAGTTTTATTGTCATTGGATGCAATCAGTACTTTATCAGTGCAACTCAAATATACTATTACTGAGAAACTGAATTGCACTTACATGAAGCTGCTCAATGTCAGGGGGAGGAGGAGGAGGGAAATCAGGTTCCTGAGGCTGGAAGGCTTCTCTGACTTTTGCCACAGCTCCCAGAATCCTATATCCAGAATCCAGGAAGCTCTTCTGCAAACCTGATCAGAAGATCCAATGTTTAATTTAATATGCCCTTGTCACCTTGCATGTTTGGGGGGGGGGGGGGGGGGAGGGAGAGTACTACTCTCAGGAGTATTTGCAGTTTGCACAATACCTGGTTCAAATTATTTTGGTACCTTCAAAATTTAGTTGCAAAATATAATGGTATTTAAACAACAGACAGCATGTTGTACAGTGAGTTTTAATTTTTGGAATGTTAATTCTAGAATAGCCAGTGGGTTTAAACCAGTGCTAAGGCTGGAGTAAGAATCCACTATGAATAGCCAAAGTAGACTCAGGCACAAACATGCAACATCTTGCCATTTTACAGAAAAAATGCAGGTGGTCCTCTTGCCAGCACATTTCAAATATTCACCTGGGACAAAGATCACAAGACACAAGTCTCTTCATAGGTGGTAACAAAAGTAGTGAACTAAGGGCTGATCCTGTTCCCTTTAACTCACTGGAGGATTTCCCATTGAATTTAATAGAAGCATTAAGTACTGTGCATCTTGATTGCACGATACTAGGGTTTTTGAGGTCATGATATACGGACAAGGAGAAAAACTAGTAGTTTCAAATCTGCAAAAGCTTCAAACATTAAAAAGGGGGAAAATGCTTGAGAGAAGCTCTTAGCTTAATGCTTACCAGGGTCAGAAATGTTTCCTGCCACAGCTTTAGCATCCATTACCATTGGTGATATAGTTTTGCTTAGGTCGTCAGAGGCTGCCTTAACAGCTTCCCGGAATTTGGGATCCTCTGAATTTTCAACCTCCTTCTTTGCCACCAACAGGATCCGGTTTGCTCGCCGAGCAATGCTGGTGGCACCAGCTACAAGCATCTGAGGTTGGATATTGGCCATTGCAACTTTACATTTATCTAGGTCTTTCTTAATAGCTTCTTCCGATGCATCCAACAGAGACTTGGTATCAATTGCTTCATCTACCAACCCTAGGATAAAAATTGAACATGTTAACATTCCACTTCCATGTATGAAAAGGGAAATGGGTATTTAGGGCTCTGGAGGTTGTTCACATTTGGAAGTAAGTATTTACTTTCCTGAATGTTTGGTTCCTTAGATACAGAGTTTAGATTGTTAGAGAAAAGTGTGCCAGAGAAAGTTACATACAGTAGCACAAAGATACAGCATTATCTTCATCATCTGTAACAACTTAAAACAAAATTTTCCCAACCATTGTCATAGGTCACCTTGAAAGAAGGGACAAGAAATGCCATATCTAGAAATGTTATTGCATGAACAGCATATAATCCACAATCCACTCATGCCTGCCCTCATCCACAGCATGCCAGCAGCAACATGCACCACATCAGAAAGGGTGACTTTTAGAAGAAATTTGTTTTGATTGACAAGATATCCCAGCGTGGAAATACCATGTTGAAAGTGCATTAGAAATGCCTACGTAAGTTTGAACTAGAGCAGCGGTTCTCAAACTGTGGGTCGGGACCCCAAAGTGGGTCATGACCCCATTTTAATGGGGTTGCCAGGGCTGGCTTAGACTTGCTGGGGCCTAGAGCCAAAGCCCAAGCCCAAGCCCTTGGGCTTGGGCCCCCCGACCTGAGACAGTGGCTCCCTGTGGGGTGGCGAGGCATGGGCGGGCTCAGGATTCGATCCCCCCTCCTGGGGTCTTATAGTAATTTTTGTTATCAGAAGGGGGTCGCAGTGCAATAAAGTTTGAGAACCCCTGAACTAGAGAATAATGGGGGGTTTCATTTAGCACCTATATAAAAACAAGAAACCAGTATTGTTAGTACTATGCAACATAGGTGTTTTCCTGGGTCAAACTGTAGGCCTGCTATTTATTTCAGACATAAAAAGTTGTGCAGCCATTATTTTGTGCACATTTCATCCACCTTAACAGGAGAAAAATACCAAAAATTAGCAATAAGTAAAAGAGCTTTCAACAAGAATTCTTTACCTGTCATTTTTTCCACATTATCAATCCACTGGTTTTTCATGGTCTCAAAATGTTCATAAGCAGCTTGATTTCCAGGGTTTCTCAAGAGAATACGAGCAGCTGATATTACCTGCCAAATGTCAAATATTTAATACAAAAATATTGTTACACAGGGACACTATACATTATCATGAAAATACACTATTTTTTAATACAACTAGTTGTCCAGTTTTACTTCTAATACTCATATGTCAATTTTAGTTCCACTATGAAAAGCCTTCAGCTGCACAAAGAATTCCACTGTGTGAAAAGGTTTTAAAATTGCCCTTAGACACCAGGTATCTCGAATTGCAATTCACATGTCACACAAAAAGGTCCACTTTCATGATAAAATTTTGCTCAAAGGAGCTAAAGCAAATGAGCAGTATATATCAAAACTTAGATCTATAGGACTGTACAAAATTATGCTTTTACATAAAGTTAGAAAATCATTTTAAAAGAAAAACACATTTTCTACTCATATGTTTTGTTAAAAATCATTTTTGTTAGCAGGAAAATTCATCGAAATTACTGCCCAAAAACTGGAGAGCATGAGACTGTCTCCATCATCTATTCAGCCTTGTTGTATGTAATGGCTAAACACAATATCCTCATTTTTATAGTTCCACTTTAAAGTGGATGTCACAACACAAATACACACAGAGTTCTTCACGTTAGTTACATCTTAACACAAATACTAACGGTAATATCACCAACAACTTGTTTTGGTGAATGGGATCATACAGAAAATTCCTTTGGAGATTAACAATGCCACCTAATTTATTATATTTCTGAGATGAGTAAAGAGACCTGCGGCGTGAGTTCTCTTGCTGATTTCACAGCTGCTTGAATGCCTTCCACAGTCGTTTTATTAGCAGTTCCAACAGCAGCTGCTTTTTCTGCTGTTGCTCCAAGTCTAGCAGCATGGTTTTCAAAGTTTGCTGCCCTTTCATCAAACACCTGTGAGAGAAAGTGCATTAATAGCAGTTTACCTTCTCAAAGAAATGCTTTCTTTTCTATTCAGAGCGTAATACCATACTATGCACCATGATGTCTGACCAACTAATAGATTTACTTCAGACACTGGGGGAATTTGAACCCAAGATTTCCTATTTGCTAGTCAGGTGCTTTTACCAAGTAGTATCTTCGGACAACAATGTTTTACTTTGTAATTCTTATGTTATTGCCAAGTTTTTCTAATCAAATTAACAGACATTTTAAACTGCTAATCCATCCTGTACAGCTTGTTGGCAAGGGGTGTCATCACACTTCCACTGATGCATGGTATTTCTTACATTATTCTGTAGTAGAACTAGTCAGGAATTCCTCACACTGCATAATAAAAGGCATTTTGTCACAGCAGCTTTGAACCCATAGCTCCCTAGGAATTAATTTGCCTACCAAAAACTAGGTTTCGTTGATGGGAAGAATGCAGCACATGCCAAAGGTTATGACTGTCATTCTTGATACAATTATTTCTAATTCATTAGAAGTGACAGATTTTTCCTAAAAGGCTTTAATATGTTTAATTTTAAAAGTAAGAGAAATAAAACAGAAAAGAATTTTCCATGGAAGGTTATAATAAAGTGGATATTTATTCTAGAAACTAAAACGTTCTAAATAGAAAAATGTCTTTCTCTCTCTCCACACACACACACTTTGTTTTATACACTTATTTTCTGAATATATGCTCTAGTCATGGGGGGCGGGGGAGAGAAATTAGGTCTAACACATTGTTGCGTCCTTGCATGAACATGATCAGCATCTATTGCATATAAAGATATAAAAATGATTAACTAGTTTAAGTACCCATCTGTCATACAAGTAGCTTAAGAATGTCAACAGCATCAGGACAGGAAGATCCTTGGTAAGATCCTAGGATTAACTGAATGTTTAGGGACTAATTTTCCAGTGAATCATGACACAACCTTCAACTTCCAGTAGTTCAGACTACTGCTCAGCCATTCTTTATTAGCAATTATGGATCAGAAGAATAAGGGCAAAATCTTGTCTTGTAAAAAACTGTGTAGTTAAGTATAAGAAGCTGAATATAAGAAAATATTGGTTGCTCCTACCACACTTACCTCATCCCTATTGGGTGCATCAGGAGGTGCAGTGGCTGCTACTGCCAATAGTTTAATTGGGGTTGTAGTGTCACTAAAAATATCAGAAACCTCCTGGGTCATAGCTTCTTGCATCCTTGTTTTCAGATCCTGAAAAACATGGCATGAAAATTGTAAGATTTTGTAGAACTGTCAAATCCCAGAAACAGCATTCTTGCAAAAACAAAGTTCATGGGACCACACAAAATGGCAACAAACAGAAATATCCTCTACCAAGTATTTTTAAATACGGCTTCTTAAAGCCATCTGTAATGTTAACCCTTTGGCTACTAGTGATTATAGACCAAATTACCATTTGAAGGAATGAATAGTATAGTGTGAGACCCTAGATAGTCCTCAGATAAGTAGCTGCTGATGTGGTATCTTTGGTAAGTGAAAAAGAAAAACTTTAAATACTTGGCCAGTTTTCTGAACAACCCCTTCCATGTACAGAACATATCCTGCTATTCATCAAGAATCACAGATAGAATAGACTCTTTAAATTAGTCTGTCTATCCCACAGCACACCAAGATTTGGTCCCTAAAGTATGAAATCAAGTGCTTAAAGTCTCACTTGAAGCATGGGGCTCTCTATACTTCCAGTGAAAGCTGCTTCCACAGTCAAGTATTCAGTGTAAATTTTCCTATGCTACTTAATACTGAATTTAGTATTTATGTACCCACCCCACCAGCATGAGCAGAGGCTTCCTCAGCACTTAAACTGCTATAAAATGGTGACCGTTCTACCTATAGTGAAGTTTTACCTTCAAAGAATCCTGGAGCTGAGTGGCAATCGCCCTAGCCTGAGGAGACTCTCCTTCTCCTCTTGCTGCCAGGTCAGCTAGCTGGGCAGCCAGCTGTTCTACACGATCACATTTGGCAAGGAGGTCTTGACGATAAGGTCCTATCATGACATTGGCTAAACGACGACCTTCAGCCACCAGTCCCCGGATTGCAGCTTGGCCTACAATAAAATGAAGTACTTCAATAATTCACAGACCCCAGAGGTAGAGGGAGTAACTCAGTTATACTGTCAAATGAGTAGCAATTAAGGACTAATTTTATTTTTTGGTTCAACAATTAACCTTCTGGTTTTTCAGCTGTATTTGAAGAAGGAGATTTGCATTCAACAGCATTTCAAACCCAATGGAAAAAGTTAAAGTCTTTTCAAACTCTCCTTTTGTGCAATATGCTGATGGTTGGCCCGAGCCTCACCATCCTTAGCTAGGGTGGGTTGGCAAGAACAGAATATTAGTTAATTATGTTCCCACTGACCTAATCACCATGAACTTGATACCACCTTAACAATACTCACCAATTCTGATTACTGTAAATTGGCGTCCATCCCTCAAATTATTTTAGGGAAAAAAAGTTTAGGTGCAGTAACTAAATCAAGCAAAGGCAACAAGGAGGAAGAGACAAAGGGGTAGAAAGAGTAGTGATGTACATCATATCCTCTTTTCCTCAGATATCATAGATAGGAGAGATTTATCAGCTGTGATGTGAGACTTAAGTTTTCACGGGTTGGGGCGGAGGCAGGGTGGGAGGGATGACAACCATTTTTTTCTTGCAAATCATCTCCATATTTAGTCTTGACAATCTCTTGTGTTCATTTATTTAGAGATTGTTTTTCTAATACCACAGCAGAGTTCTTTTAAATAGGAGTTATTACATTTAAGTCTTAAAGATACATGGAGTATGGCTGTCTTCACTTAAGTCTAACAGACAGAAATTTGGCTGATTGTGCAACAGAGAAGTTTAGAACTCAGGACATAAGTTTAAAGATTTGGTTACGGAGAGCTGAGAATAATTTTGTCACAGCCCCAGAATATAAAAGAGATGCAACGCAGAGTACTGACAGCAACATTTTGTGACATCTTAGTTTAGCCAAGTAGAGTCTTGTTAGAATCCAGTAATATCTATTCAAGTTGTTGTTTTGGAGTAAGCAAAGAGCAGGTGATGAAGACATTCATTTGATATTTCACCCTATCTTGCCCAATTTTTAATCTGGCAGTGAGAATTAAAGATTTCAATCCATTTATTGCTCAGCAGAAGCAGATTATAATAAAGCTGTTTACAAAGCAAACAGAGGAGATGCCAGCAAAATGACCCACACCATTCTAGAACAACATGTTTTATGGTTCAGAACTTAAATCAATCCATACTATAGTGCCAAGTTTTACGCTGGGAGAAGTGTAAACATGCAAAATTATTTGAGACACGGTCAACTCCCTGTTCAGAGAACAGCACAGAAATATTTTCCTAAGACTAAATTTACCAGGCCAAATTCTTTGAATAGTACTGTAGAGATCTAACAGAGCACTGTGTTCTCAATGAATCCTTCGTAGAGGAATCTTACCACCCGCCATAACAAATGCAATAGATTTAAAATAAAAGTCAAAACCAACACACATTAATGCAACATTACGACAAATTTTTAAACGCTTAACAAATTCAGAAGTTAAGGCTCCCACAACTACTTATTCTGGCCCTTCACACATTTTTGACATTACATATTATTGTACCTATTGACTAAAGCCTTAACTTATTTCCAGTGCAGGAGAGTTCCAATTCTTATGGAAGTTACATAATTTGCATCTAAAATCTCAAACGTAACTATGCAATTATATATCTTTTTTGCACCTAAACTTTTGCTTATTGTTTCTTTTAAAGGGGGAAAGAGTGAACAATCATATCTGTTTACATTTCATGCCTCCAGGAGCTGAATGCTGATGTAAGATGCAGTGGATTCTGGGGCAGTTTGAAATTGGAGAAGCTCCCACCAACCAGACCTCCTGGGACACACTTTCACAGCTTCCAGAAGGCCTGGGGAGTCTCATCACACTTTGTTGTGCAGTTCCTGCATCAGGAAATGGCTAAAATTGCATGGTATCGTTCCATGTTGTCAACTTCTAGAGAAAATTTGCAAAGTTCAAAAATAAAAAGGTCTCTTTAACTGCCAGCCTTGCAATCCCTACCTGTGATCTAAACATCAGGTTGTTCACGCATCAACAGAAGTAATCCTGACTGCACTGAAAGATGGGGGCAGACACTGAAGGTCTACAGCTGCACTACACCTGGGCCAGGTTGGGATTCCTGGTGGTCTTCACAGCTCTGCTGCCTGCACCTCACTACTATGATGAATGAGCTCATAAAATCAAGATTTCAAAGAAACCTTTATTGAAACTATTTTTTGGATAAAAGCCATCCTGCCAGCTAGAAAGCTGGTCAGAAAACAAGAAAACCACCACAAATGTGGTGGTCGGGGCTGAATCATTTGTCTTCGTAAAAAGGTTTAATTAATTTTCCCACCACTTCCAATTATTAACAAAAAAGCAACTCCTGAATCATTATTATATGCCTGCAAGTGACATACCATGACTATTTGATCACTTTTTCCATTGATTGCTGGTAACAAAATAATATTGTTGTTCCATAAGATTGTGTAGAAACTGTATGAGGTGAAGCCATATCTTTAAGAAAAACCTTACAGAATGAAACATCTACTTTCTATTTACATGGGAGTTAATTTCCTAATTTGCAGCCGATATACAAATGTGTATTTTAGGCATTGTACTTGAATTACAAACAATACAAAGCAGTGTAAAAATATTGCATTATGTTTTGTTCCTACTTACATGTATGGATATTAGAAAGTAACTTCAAAGGCATGTATGGTACCACTTGTTGACTCATCAAGTTTTTTGTGAGCACAGTGATTTTATACCAATTTTTAGTTAGAATAGTGAATGCATGTTAAATTCACAAATCCAATTGATCTGACCATCACCTTAGAAAGGTCCTATCTATATTGCAAGCTCTCCCATCTTTGATATGATGCTCATTTTCCTCTGCTTAAGTTCCAGTGGAGGATCCATCACCACACCTCAACATTCACCAGCAGAAGCAGCACAGAATGCTGCTATGAGCCACATGCTACAAACTACACACCTCTACATAAACCAAACGTCTCAAATGTGCTAAACAAAAATCTCAGGAGACGCAGTTTTATTGTTCCGATTTATTATGAAGCCAAACAGTGATTCAGCAAACAGCTCACCTACTCCACGGTCATCAACTGTCGGATTGTCAATCCACCTTTGAGCTTGCTCAATCTTGCCCTCCAAATGAACAGCTGCCTTAACTGGCCTGGTGTTTGCTACCGCCCTGTTTGTTTTAGACTGTAAATTCTGCAGTGATGTAGCTACTTGCTTAGCCAGTACCCGGGCCTCTGGAGAGTCTCCTTTCCCACTGAAAATTCAGAAAAGATAGTTGCAGTCACTCGCTCAACTGAAATCAATACAAGACATTATATATTTTTGAAAACAGATTTAACTATCAAGTATCAGAGAGGGGTAGCTGTGTTAGCCTGTATCCACAAAAACAACGAGCAGCCGTACAGAACGCAACACCATCCACAGCCTCAGAAACAACTCTGACATTATAATCGAAGGGGCTTCAAAAAAAACCTGCAGAGCTACAATTCATTTGCAAACTTAACACCATTAACTTGGGCTTGGACTGGGAGTGGCTAGCTCACTACAAAAGCAATTTTCCCTCTCTCAGTATTGATACGTCCTCAACAATTATTGGGAGTGGACCACATCCACCCTGATTGAATTGGCCTTGGTTCTCCACTTGTAAGGTAACTCCTTCCTTAGAGGTTTTTAAGGTCAGGCTTGACAAAGCCCTGGCTGGGATGATTTAGTTGGGGGTTGGACTAGATGACCTCCTGAGGTCCCTTCCAACCCTGATATTCTATGATTCTGTGATTCCCTTCTCTTCATGTGCCAGTATATTTATGCTTGTATTTGTAATTTTCACTCCATGCATCTGAAGAAGTGGTTTTTTACCTACAAAAGCTTATACCCAAATAAACGTGTTAGTCTTTAAGGTGCTACCGGACTCCTCGTTGTTTTTGTAGATTTAACTGTGATACTCTCGTGACTCAATTCACTATAACGACGTTCATTATGTACAAAAACAGAAATTAAGAATAATGACCGACAACACTTTATTTATGGTGTTAGAAAGACAATGTACGGACTGTAGGGTAGCAAAATCTGAAGAAAACCTTATGTTAAAAGCACTAACTACAAATGGAAAAAGTGACAGATTTAATATTAAAGACCACTGTTGACACCACATAAGCGTAACCCTCCTCTTCCACCATGCACTTTCTTTTCAGATCTGATACTGAAACACTTTCTTTAGCTAAGCATCGAACTAAAGCTGACAGATCCTTGTGGGACCATTTTAATGCTATGCTTTTCTAAGATTTATCTGTATTAAAAGATAGGTATAATGATTAATGATCCAAGAGCTTGAAAGATCATCTGACAGTTTAGTAACTTTCTTAAAGGACCAGAGTTATCATTTGGGATGGCAATTGTATAAGTAAATGCATAAGTGCACCTTAGTTAGTATTACAGACTGTGGCGAAATTCTGTGTTATTCTGCAGCTCCTTTCTACTGCTCCGGTGGTGCAAAGAGGAGAGTTTCGGCTTCACCTTGCCAGTGGAGAATTTTTATGGCAGAGGAGATAAATATCTTCTTATAGGAGGACCTCAAGCCATCTAATCTTCTGCAGTAGAGATATGGTACAGGAAGGAGTCCTTTGCTACAAGCTACTAGTCAATCTGAAGTGCAAGACTATGATATTCTCTGTCCCATGAAAATGTTTTGCTCCATGCAGAAGGAAAACCCACAGTATGAGACATACATTCTCAACAGAACAGATAATTATACTTTCAGGATGCAAATTTCTCTGTGCAACTATTTTGAATTTTCTGATCCATCAAATTCATGCACTTAAACTACAACTGCAAGATGCTCAAATACCACAATGTGCGCAGTACAGATACATACTGTCTTCGTAGATCTGACAGTTTAGCTGTCAGAGCAGAGATTTCTCCCAGGGAACGCAGAATGTCATCTCTGTCTTTGGGGTCCTCACACAGTTCTGCAATTTTCCTGGCTTCGGCCATAATTCCCCGAATTTGTTCTTCCCCTTCACTTCCCCCATTAGGGTCTGCAAGCCAGTTCTTCATATAAAGAAATAGGTACAAATAAAGATTAAGTCATCTCCTTATATAAAATCTTTTGAACAAGGGCACTTCACAAAAGGTTCTTATATTGATAACATACCCTGATATTCTAATGGCAACCAGGTGTTTTGTTATATGAGGCAAGCATACAAAGTTATGTACATCTTAGCTACCATTGTCAAGTCCCACTCACATGTACAGTTTTCACAAGTGCACTTTAACTAGATTCGGTTTAAGTATTCACAACTGTTTTATACCTATGTTTCTCACAAGTTAAGAATTGTTTTTTTTATTTTGACAATGTACAGTTCTTTTTAGGAATCTTTCTAAAAATGTTGTACAATAGAACGCTAGATAGTAGTTCTTTTTTTAGCACTGAATTAATGGAGTGCATGACCTAACAATTGAAGATTAAGTTTTGCTGTTAAGAAGATACTGTACTACATATTCTTCCTCCATTATAAAGCTGAATAAACTACCCTCTTGGTCAACAATGTACTGTTTACCATTTGCATAAAAACACAGCAGCTCTCAAACTGCATTTGTACTTCCCACAGAGAGCCCAAAGGAGTTCAAAATTGCGAAACTTTCATAGCATTGGCCAAATGTTATGGCCAAAATTAGACTGTACCTCCCCGTCTATTTTCAGAAATGTATCAGTTTTTACATCTGTGTTAAAGAATTTCCATCTTGAGAGAGAGAGAGAGAGAGAGAGAGATTGATTGTGAGAAACTGTAACAGAACTCCTATGAGCTCCCACTAGATAGTGAAATCAGAAAGAAGAGACTTACGTACGTTCAAGAAAGTGTCCCCAATATATACCTCATATAAAGTAATGACTGTGTTTGGGGATGCCTGCAATAGTTCAGCACAGTAACTTAAAGGCACAGTTTGAGAGATTTTGGGAATTCATAAAATTACTAGGTACCTGAGCAGCATCAATTTTTTTAGCAATTGCCTGCTTAGAGTTGGTCATGGCCTCCAGTTTGCGGGCTGCATTTTCCACTTTCGCTGTAAGCAAATCCAGACCTTGAGACACCTGCTGTGCTTTCTGCATGGCCATTGGTGTAACACCTTGTCCTCTACTCAAAAAACACAAAGATCATCATAGGAATATCATACAAAAAGTATTTTTTTTTTAAATTACAAAAAACACTAACTTTTGTTTTCGAACTTTTCATCAATTCTTACCACAACCATGATATTGCAAAGGTGTTCAGGAGACATGTTTAAAAAGTACGCTGGGGAGCGGGAACAAGAAGGCAACAGCTCATCTGAACACTGGCTAGGACAGGTGCCTCTTGAAAAGTAAACACAAATGGCACCTGTCTCTTACTAGAGTTTTACATGCAGCATCAGCACAAGAATTGAATTTTTGAAGGTTCCCTAGTATGATGACAAGAAGAGGAAAGGGCATTATGGGGGCAGAGTGCAACTGAATTACCCATGGTAGAGCCCTGTGTCTACTTCCTCTGTTCATTCCTCAGAGGCTTCCCAACACTCCTAGGACAGTTTAAACAATGGCACTTAGTGGGAATAATCTTTTGCCACATCTTATGCTGCATAAAGCAAGGAGGACTGGATTAAATGAGTTATGTACTGCAATTCAAAGGTACACTCTTCTTTGGTTCCCATATTTACACCATTTCAAAAGATAGAATACTGAAAAACACACACCGGCTCTTGGTAGGACATCTTACTAAATTGGAACCCGAGGGAAGGTTATTGAAATACATGTAGGAGATCAGCAAAGCTCTGCAGGAGAAGAATTGAAACCACCACAGGTGGCTGTTCAAACATTTAGAAATGAAGTACAACTGAAGAGGAACATTCTTTAAAGTAAAAGCCCAAGAATCTTATAGGTTTTTAGATGTGGTTGTAGGACTCTCAGGTTCTAAGTGTCTGAAGTACTAGGGTTAATAAAGAGGTTTTTCCTCTTCTTATAAAAGAATACTTTGTTAGTTTAAGAGAGCAGACATGGATGACCGGGGGGGGGGGGATGGGAGGGGGGACGACACCAAATGAGGAGGTTGTGGATAATCATGTAATAGGAAGTCTAAAGGTCCTCTCTCCTGAGTCAGGCCAGATCTCTAGATATGCTTCTTCTACCCTATCCTCTGAGAAATTAGGTATAAGGACTTTTAACTATTTAGCCAGCACAGAAATTAACTGTTTGGGGGGGGGGGGGGGGGGGAAAGAGGTTCAGCATTATCCTGGACGTTTCAAGCCAATACAAGACTGTCATCAACTGTTGCTTTGTGAAAGAAAGAAAACTCAACCTTGAGACTGAATTTGTCCTTGATGCTCTGCAAAAAAAACAGGTAAAATTTCAAGGCAAATCCTGCATTATTTCTTTATGAATCTGCTAGAAGCTTTTAGATTCAAGTTTTAACTTTTTTCTTCCACGGCTCCCATGAAGGCCGAAATGGATCGACACCTTGAAACTGGTTTTGTGGACAATGCAACTAATAATTTAGAGACTGCTTCAGGTTTAAGAATTGCACAAATGGAATCATTAAGCAACTAAGTTAATATTCTGAAAGTTGGAACAGATTTGTGCCTTTTGATGTACAAAGACTGTGAACTGATAACGACTATTAATGTATACGAGTGCTCATTTAGCTAAATACAAAAGTAGTATTCCAAGCATGAGGGTATACCATTAAAATATTTTATGGTTTAGCATACAGTGGATTTAATTTCTATTTAAAAAAAAAAAAGCTGAGAGCTCAAAATAAGTAACTTGTAAGTAATTTCTGGCTTTGTTCGCTTCTCACCCATATTTCACTAGGAGGCTTATGCCAGAAGAGGCCATTTGGTTTACGCAAGTTTGAAAAACATGGTATTTATGAAGTTTTGTTTTACATGCCCTCCTCTTACCAATTTCTGTTGCTACTCCTGGCAATATGCATGATTCATTAATATTTCAAAAGAAAATAATTGTGCCAGGAAGCCATTGCACAACTACCTAATGGATCACTGGAACAGTTTTTTTTGTTGAGGTAAGATCAATGTTAGGAAACTGACTGACAGTTTTCAACTGCACATCAATTTTGTGTTCTCAGCCACCAAAATTCAATTATAAAATTCATATTACAAGGTATTTTGGAACCCTCCTGCCTTTCCACTTTCACAAAGGAACACAAGGCCCCCTGAGCTTTTGAGAGTATAATAAAAAGTTCTTAGTGCTTTGAACAGGAAAGCACTGCCAATGTGCTCTACAAAACATGATCTAATTGATCCAATTAGGCTACCATATATTGAACTGTGTCTGCTACAAAATTGCTCTTCCAGCCCAGAACCAGAATTTCATCATGGGACACTGGGCATGATTCTCCTCTCAAAACACTGTACAAGTCTGGAGTAACTCTTGCAGTCAATGAAGTTACACAGATGGAAGACTGGTGTAAGCAAAAGAATCAGGCTCATCAAGGTCAAATGCAAATTAGAAACAAAAAGAACTGTAGGTGAAGACAAACTTCTACATTATTTATCAGGGTGATGAGCAACTATCTTCTGGTACATTACCTCTGGCAACCCAAAGGACTAGGGTACTCTGAATCATATGAAATGTGTTGATTTATACAAGGCACCTGAGTTTGTGGAATGATTTATACTGAGCTGAAGAGCTCATTTCTGCTTGTTGATTTTTCCAAGGCAAATCAGATCGCTACATGTTTGCAATTGAGTGAAGTCTGAATGATCTAATTCAACTATTTTGTTTGCTTTGTCCCAAGAACACTTGTAAATATGAATTCACATCACCATATGTTTCATCCTTCTGGAAGGGACAGCAAGACAAAACAAATAAGATAATGTGTACGCTCCTACAAATGTAACCTGTTGTACCACAGTGATGAACATCACAGCCTAAACAGCTATATACTTCAGAGACACTCTTATTAATAATAGAAGGTTTACCTAGCTCGGAGATCAGCCACTTGATCAGTCATCTGGCCTAGCATTTTACAGGTTCCCAGAATCTCTCTGCGTTCTTTGCCTGCACACAGTTCTCCCACTTTTCCGGCTTCATCAAGGATCTGCCTTATAGCTTGCTCACCAGCATCCCCTAATATGCAGGAGACAGTCAATAAGTACATTGAAAGACACTCATTACTTATTAAGAGGAAACTGCTAATTCCATCAAGACCTGCTGCACTAATCATACTTTACTCAGTGAATGAAGTACATTAATTGAAATGATTGGAAAGGCACCCAGAGTGCAAGAAATCCAATACCTTGTACTAAGACAATGTTCCTGCAACAGTATAGTGTTGTTTTAATAGCATATCCTGTCCCATGAATTAGGCATGAAATGAATCCCTAAGGATGGTTTCATTTCTACTGATGAAGCTTCTATATAAAAGTTTAGGAATATAAAAACATTTTAAAAAAGAACATGATTTTGGATTGTGGGGTAGGAGGCAAGGGAAAGAGGGACAAACTTTCAAAGTATTAGCTGTAGCCTACAGCAAAGCTTTCTTGGTGTTCAACAAAGAGCATGGTAGTTCTCAATTCTCTTTCTTTTTAAAAAAACACCCAGGTGTTGTAGGCACGTCCAGCACTCACAGAACAACGTCCATGTGCCAAAGCACTTACAATTTAGCAATGACTCAATGAAAGGGGCAACAAAACAGTAGGGACAGCAGATTTGGGATTAATAAGGTTACTTCATTTATTTTTTTTAATCTAGAATCTAATAAATTGTCTCGCTTCTTAAAATTGGATTATGGCTTTTCTATAATGCTATACACACCTAGTTAATACAATAATTAAAATCCAAGTGTAAGATACAAAAATTCTTTTAAAAGGAAAGTTACCAACCCAGTTAACACTGGATTGTATTAGTAACACATTCATTAAAATGTTATTTTGTAGGATGCATTTCAATGACTTTTAGCCACAGGAAACTGAAGTTGCCACAGTTGACTATGTAGAGGGAGGGGGAGAGAGTGAGAGGGAGGTTTAAAACAGTGACACCATACACAGCAAAAATAAACACTTCCAGTATTGCTGCTCAGGTGTACATTGACCTCCACCTTAATATATATATATATATATATATTTTTTGTTTAGATCTTTGATGCACAAATGAAAAACAAACAGACTGGCAACTGGTTATGTTTAGCCACAGGAAAGTCTTAAAGGAATAAAAAAAAAAATAAGGTGTCAAATAGTTTTATATGTTAAAAAGATATTTCTGAGAAGACCACGGGAGGAGGGTTTGTGTATGTGTGTATAGATTGATAGATAAATACTATATGGAACTAAAAGGTATCAAGCATGGAAGTGAAGAAGGGATTTTTTTTATTCTCTGGGCTGCTGAGCCACATTTTCCCATATCAATTGTAGCGTATTACACTTTTTTTTTTTTTTTTTTTTAACTAGCAAAGGAAGATAAATACAGTACTAAATATTGAACACATTTTCTAACGATGAAAAAGAGAAGATTAGTTTACACACGGTTTGAACTATATCATTTGAACAACATGGGGGGGGGGAACCTTTCCAAAGCACTTTGCATATAAATTATTTTTTCTTAACATTAATATTTGAAGGAAGGAACATCTAAGCATTTCTTTTGAGAATACTTCACCTGTAATTTAGTAATATACCAGAATTTTCTCTAAAAGAAACAATCGTTTAGACAGTAAGGCTCTGAACACTGCATGGGTGGAGTATGATTATTACCTGGTGATGCATTGGGATCCCTTAGCCAGCCCTTTGCCTGGTTCATCTTGGAATCTATTAAGGCCAAAGCTCTCTTCATAGCTTCAGTGTCCTTTACAAAAGAGAAACCTTCACAATCATTCTCTTTGCCAAAACACAGATAGTAAATACAAATCAAAGCTGACAGAAAATTAAGCTTAACACAAGTTGATTCTCCCATTAAAACAGCTCAAAAAAGTATTGGACAGAAGCAGGTCACAGTCTTTTCTTGAGAATTAAAACCAACAGATATGTTTTCATTTCACACAAAATGCAAAGAACTCTTTCATGCAAGTTTTTAGTTACTTTTTCTGTTCAGTTATTTTCCCAGTCCTACAATTCCTTCAGGAAAAAAAGCTGCAACAATTTTCAGACAGTATCTTGGAAATCAGGATTTGTAAGAGTATACCAAGACTCTGTAGCAACTACAGTAAATTTAGCAACAAGTTTATGGTTTACAGGTGTTTTCAGAAATGACTTGATACTACTGGAAATGGTGTCTTATAGTTAAGAGGTCAATGACAATTTTAATACCCTTTTCTGCCTAATTTGTTGAACAGCTACATTTTTGGAATTCATCTGCCCTTTAAAGTCAGACACTAAAAGTGTCACTTTTGAGTCAACAATAACAAGGATGGAAGAAGATACAGATTTACTGTCAACTATCAGGATTCAGAGAATAATCAGAACTTTTAAATCTATAGAGATTAAGGCGCACATGCACTTTAGGTCCCATCTACTCTACCCATGGCAATGAGTCTCTTCCTGAGAAGCGCTCTTCTAACAATAGCAAAGGTCCCTTCCAACCCTGATATTCTATGATTCTATGAAATGTATTGGCTCACTAACACTCCTTCACCTAGAAAAGTTGAAAACATGGAGTCCTTTCTCTGTGTGTATTTGCCAGTGTTGATCTGTTAACTCTCCACTAGAAGGCACTGTGAGTTTTCTATCCAACACAGTAGGAGAGAACAAGAACATCAAATGCAAGAAGTCTGGGCAGGGCTAGAATAACAGCTCTTCAATAAGCATGTGATAAAAGTAACTTACATTTGTTTATTCTAAATGGTGTTAATGAGCTGCCCCTGCCACAGAGTCATGTCTTTATGACAGTATCTTTATGCAGAGTTCTGGTACTTAGCACAATAAGTCAGCAGAACCCAGCCTTCCTTCTCCCTCCCCTACCCCCACCATTACACAACCCCAAAGCACCCATGTCAGATCTCTTATTTAGACTGTAAGATACTTGGGACAGGATTCAGTGTCTTGTACACTTGTCTGTGTCTTGTACAATGAGGGGTACACTGGCAGCACTAGAGGTTGAAACCCTTCTTTGAAGTGGATCAGTGTATCCCAGAGGTGAAAGTAAGCCAGTATGCACCGGTACGCCATACCGGACCAGCTTCCCCAGGCAGCAATTTAAAGGGCCTGGGGCTCCCAGCAGCGGCTGGAGCCCCAGGCCCTTTAAATCACCACCTGAGCCCTGCTGCCAGAGCCCCCAGGTAGCGGAGGTGTCCGGGACCCTCAGGGCTCCGGCGGTGATTTAAAGGGCCCGGGGCGCTGCTGTGGTAGCGGTGCCCCAAGCCCTTTAAATCACCACCAGAGCCCCGCCGCCACTACCCCAGGGCTCTGGCAGCAGGGCTCAGGCAGTGATTTAAAGGGCCCGGGGCTCCGGCCATTGCTACCACCCCGGGCCCTTTAAATTGCCGCCAGAGCCCCGCTGCCAGAGCCGGCGGAGATTTAAAGGACCCAGGGCAGTAGCGGCAGCCGGAGCCCCGGGACCTTTAAATGGTTGCCCGAGCCCGGCTGCAGCGGCAGCAGCCGGGACCCCTGCGCCTCCGTCGGCAATTTAAAGGGCCCAGGGTTCCACTGCGGTAGCCCCTGAGCCCCGGGGCTCCCAGTCGCCTCTGCAGCTGGTAGCTCTGGCAGTGATTTAAAGGGCCCCAAGCTCCCAGCTGCCACTACAGCCGGAGCCCGGGGCCCTTTAAATCTTGATTTAAAGGGCCCCAGGCCCTAAAGGCCCCGCCTCTTCCAGTTGAAGCCATGCCTCTACCAATTGAGGCCCCGACCCCTGCTCAGGACTCCGGCGTACCAGTAAGTCCTTTAAGTTACTTTCACCCCTGGTGTATCCATGCCTTTGTAATCCCAAAACTAGCTTGCTACAGTATGTTGTGTTTAGGGCTAAACACAGGAACTTCGCTTGGTGCAGTATGCAGCTACTCTTTTCTTAGGGTGAGCTGTTTTCAACAGACTATACCCTGCTCCATGACCTGCACCAGCTACCTATTCACCTCTGAGCATAGTTCAAAAGGACTGGTTTCAATCTATGCTGTCCTATATTGTGTGGGACCCAGCTCCTTAAAGGTCACCTCATGCTATATTGCATCTTCTAGATGGCTCTTGGAGTCAGGGGCTGGGTTTGAGCTCTCAAGGTCCAGTGTCAGAACATGCTCATTAGAAGGCCTAGGTCTCGGAACCTGCTTCCTCTACAGTCTGTCAGAACTAGAGATTGATGACCTTCAGGGCTAAGTGAAAGATCTGTACTTGGAGTGGCTTTTAAATTACTTCAAACCATTATAGGGCAGGATGTACTGTTTTTTATTAACTTTAGAGCTCTGTAATTTGTGAATTCTGTATTTAATGTAAGGCAAGTGTGAAGAAAATAAGCACCATGCATAAAGCTATTAAACATTTAACTAAGCTGATAAACTTATAACTTGTGATGATGGTTGCAGCTTTCAGTTATTGCATATGCAGATTAAAGGTGTTTTAGCTCCGAATGGATAGTGGACAGCAAGCCAGCCACTCCATAAATAATCCAAACACAAAAGCATTAACTGAAGCTTTAAAAAGGTATACATATTAGTCACTAGTCTCTATATTAATGCTTTGACCCTGTAGAGACTTGATGGGATCACTCAGTGCTTAAAGTAAAGCTTGTGCATAAATCTTTGTAGAATCAGGGCTTTACCATGGAGAAAGGGGTTTATAAATTAAACGATTTTTAAAGTTGTGTTTGTCCACCACATCCATATCTCTGAGGCATTCAGTAGAACACTACTTTCAAGCTTTGGATTTATACTGTGTATTAAAGAGGTTTCAAGAGGACAAACTGAAAAAAACCTCATCGATTTTTTTCCACTTTAAGTCTACTTAACATTTTTAGAAACCCATATCTTCCTCCTTAGTAATGTGCACGGATGATGCCCAAGAATTATATTTAATCATGCTAATTGCAGTCCTCTTCATTGATTTGTGTATTTATAATCAGTAAAATGACACTGAAGGTTTCCTGTATTTTACTGAGTCTCTTGTTTAGTCAACACAAGGCAACATGATTTTTTTTTTTTTTTTTTTTTTTTAAAGCTTTTACACTTTTTATTTTGAAAACTCCCAGCACTACATACTCAACCTGGGATCTAAAAGAGCCAAGTTGTCTTCTGTCATCTTTCCCATCAGCACCAGGGCTCCATTCCTGATCATTCTGTTGTCTAAGTCTTGCCATCCTGTGTATCAATATATCAATTCCTGGGGCTCCCCAAAAGCTACAGACATAATGCACAGATTGGAATAGCACCCTTCCCCCACCTTTTTTCCTCCCCCCCGCCCCCTTTTGGTGGTAAATCAAGGTCTGTTCTGCTTGGATATTTCAGATTTCTGCTAGGAAACTCATTCGCGTAGCCAATAAATCGTTCCAACAAATTCAAGAGCATCTCTTCTTTAAAAGCATAGTTACCAAGCTTCACATCAACCCCTGGTATGTCCAGATAGCTCCACAGTTGTAGCCTATCAAAATCATGGTCGTATGGTACTAGAGTATCTGCTTTTGAACAGCAATGCAGAAGATTGCGCTCAGCTTTTAGCCTGTTTTAACATTTTCATTCTATCCAGAAAGGATTCATTTCTAGTGGACACACTCCATCAGAACAGGCCCCTTAACTGGACACACTGATACTGTACTTGTTGTATGCTTCATCCCTTAAGCACTGACAGAGCCTTCCCCACTGTCAGACTTTTGGAGAGAGTTGGAGCGCAGAAATCATTGAAACCTACAGTCCTGTTGATTGATAAAGGTTGGCAAGCAGGGACCTGGAACTAAAAACGTATCCAGGGAAACCAGTTTTAATACAAAAATATTAAGCAAGATGTTTCAGTTTCTGGACTTTGATCTTCTTGGAGATCTGAAACTGTTCCACTGATTTGTCTCCCTTGTGACTCAGCTAAATTTATGGTATCTAAATTTTCCTCAGATAAAGAAGGTGGAGCAACAGAAACAAAACTGGTTTTTCACAGAGCTTAGATAAAACAGGCAAAACAATCAGGGTTACCACTGCCTGAGTGGGGAAGAGGCAATGGGCATTTTACTAGCCAATCCTCCAGCAAGGATACCTCCTAGATCTACTTTCCTCTTTTTGCGGCTTCTGCTGTCACTAGTAATTTTGTAAAGAGCCATAGAGCTAGTCCAGATTGGAAAAATGATATTGGCAATTCTCCTGCTTGAGAGGGAATCTCCGAAATCTGACACTATCCCTTGTTGCTAAATATTAACTATAATCTCTGAATTATTAAGTACTCTAAGTCTAGAGAAGTTGTGCAATATCTGCATTTCTTTACCAAAGAAGGCAATGTTGGTACAGTACAGTACAGCAAGTCCTGTTTTTTGGCATATCAACTAGCTTAGTCAAACATGGTTCAATCCTGGGAAACATCCAACAAGATTGCTGGATACTTCCCAACAGCCCTCAACTCTCAAGAAGTGCTCAGCTTCTTGCAGCATCCATTCCTCATTCACTACAGGCTTGCTCGTCTTCAGCCTCAGTGGGAATTATATGAATTGAGCACTGCAGCAGCAGATTCTCTTTTCCTAGTTTTGTTACAGCCTGTAGACATTTGAATTAAAGGAGAAACTAAACATTTATATACTCAAATGTATTCCATTTGTAGTTTCATCCCCACTCATCTACTGGGATTTTTCATTTAACTGTTCATTAAAAAAAAGCATGCACATGAAAAACTTGTTGCAACCAGACAATTCAACAATTAATTGCATCAGAAAAATGTCAACATTCATTCAGCATTTAAATTCTAAACCAACACTCAAATTATGTTTAATCAAAAACAAAAAAACAACAACCATATTTAAGCAAATTTATGGTTTGCCAGAACTATAAATATTGTCTAAATTTGAAATTAACACCCAGTCTAAGAAACAGTGTTGGAATTATCTTAATGACGTTAATAATGGTGTGCACTTGATAGGAAAAGCAGTTCTGCTCCAAATTTTTTCCTCCACTTACTTTATTCCCTCTCCTTTCTGTAGGAATCATCTCCTTCCATTGGAAGTCTCCATCAGTAAGGAGAAGCATGCAACAAGTACAGCAAATATAAGTAAATTAATAGTTCCTCTCTCCCCAAATCAAGCATTTGCCATGTGTATCAATAGAGGAATGTCTTCTGTGTGGGACCACTAGCAAGACAACCAATGCCAGGATTTATTTCTTCTCACAAGTGTTCAGTTGTAACATTTAATATTCTTTGTACCATGAACAGTTCAACACACAAGCAATGCCCAATGCTACATGTCTAAAATGCAGACTATCATAATCCTGCATGTTGAAATATAATTTATAATTAAAATATTACTCTAAATTTACCTAGAGTGCACAATGATGTACTTGGAATACTGACCACAAAGCATACTTATGTATTATGCACCCTGGCCAAAATTTTCCACTTACTGTCAATATAAGCATTTTTATAAAAGCTCCTTGACTTGTTTTACTAATAGAAATTTTTCACATATATATCTTAAGAATTTTGAAAATCTCACTTACTATCTACTTCGTACTGCATTCATCTTGGGACATTGAAAGCTTCCTGGTTTCCCCATGCACTAGAATAGTGAGGTTGTGTGTGTTTCAAACAAAGTGGGGAAATGTTTAAATACATAAGGAAAAGCTAATTTAAAAAAACAAGTTATGAGCCTAAGCCACGTGCCCTGTATAGAAGGCTTAAGCTCTCCGAGGAAACTTATTTATTGAGGGGCCATGCTGATGAAAAGCAAGAGATTCTTCCCACAAACGATGGGATGGGCAAAATTACTGAAATAAACTGTATAACGCTTTCCAGCCAACAGAAAGCCTGCTTCTGCATAATTGGACTCTATGATTATGAGCACCAGAAGCTAGTAACATAGGTTAAATAACAGGAACCTGTCCTAAATACTTGGGAAGACTCCCATCAAACTCTGAAAGGCAGTCTTTGCATAGTCTGGTCTGTCATCACCCTCACCTAACAAGCTGCTTCAAACTTCAGATATCTTAGAGCTGAGCAGCGGGGTAGCTAAGCTCATTTTAAAACCTCTATTAGACCTACATACATAAGTATGGTGTTACAACTGGCACACAGAAAAAAATATACACAGCACACAGTCTGCACACAGCACAAAATCCCACAGACATGCTTTTTTGTTTTAGTACAGAAGTACAGGTGTGGGGTGTGGAAGAAATCTTACCTTCTAAAGGTGAGAAAAGATAAGAAACAGGAGAACAAAAACAAAGATGCATAAAGTAGTCATAATAAGGAAGTAGCAGAATGGTAAAATACTTCAAATGCAAAATAAGGGTCAAGGCACCAATACATAGGCTAAAGTGCTTTTAATGTCTATATCACAACAGGTTTTCTAAGGGGGAACTAGTCTGTCTTTATGTCTAAATGTTTTTTAAAATATAGTTTTTCAGTTATTTGCTGCTGTGCCACTGATCCTAAAAAGCCTATTAGCAGCATACTTTAAAGGCCATCCAAACACAGTTGGCATCCCAACCACTAGTGTGCTGCTGTGTTTGCTGGTAACTGCAGCTACCCAGGATGTGAATGCACACAGCAGTAGCTCTCCATTCTGCCTGTGCTCCATCCATGTGAGCAGGCAGGCATTGACATAGGCAGCATTTTCTGTACTAAGCAGACAGTCAAGTCAAGCAGAGCAATGGCATCCCTTGCACACTCCATGTGCATGCCAGCAGCTGCAAACAAACCCAAATACGCTGGGTTGGCTGGGAGTCATTTTTGTAAAAGTTCCAACTTCTCAGATCTCATTTCACACCTCTTCTCTTCCAGAAAGACTGTTCAGAACACAGTGCCTTTTGGGAGGTGAGGGGTAAGGAGAACATATACTGATACTAATCCCACCCACACCCATGTTAGTACAAAAAGACTTGCTCAGTTAAGATGTGGAGTTCTTCACCTAGTTTTTACACCAAGCAACAAATTCAAGTTTCTAGTGAGAATATGAATGCAAACTAGCTTGCCTGCTAACACATATGGAAGCGCCTTAAGGTAATACTAGATTGGGTGTTTAAGTACTGTACTGAGTTGGACAAATTTTGTCCAGACCACAAGGGACAGCTTGTGTGCCCAACTTACTCACACCACACAGTGTAAAATTTGGTCACCACATGACTGAGATTAAACACACTCTTTCCTTGAAAAGACATACTACATTCTAACACTTCCCTATCAAGCCAAAGAGAGAGACCAGAAATGAACACAAACCCTGATCTCCTACATGGCAGTACAATAAGCCACTGAGTCACGTGCCATACGTTTTAACCTTCTTGTTTCTATTAAAGAAATCAGCAAAGACTAAGCAATGGGACAGGCAAGTTACTTTTAAAAACAAGCTTTAACAGGGACCAAATTATCTCCAAAGATATTCTTTTTACTTTGGTATCTTGTGATTAGCTTGGCAGAATTCAATTTTTTTTAAATAATTTTGATGGACTATATCGATGGTTTATTTTAAGCACTTGATTTTTATTGATTTAAAATCTTTCACAATTGTGGGAAACTATGGGGAGCAGACAATTTTATGACAGACATTCAGATTCAAAAAAAGTTAAAGCTTTATAACGGTTAAAACACAAATTTTAATCTATGTCAAAATATACAACGTAAATAGCTTTAAGTCAAACTCTGGTAAGTTCTTAAGTAGCATTTTTCTTACATTGCCTATCTGTAAATTTTGATCAACATCAATGGCAACATTTTTCATTGTTTGTGTGTATACAGTGAAATGAGCATTTACTGAAAAATCTAATCCTTCCAATCCTATTTATGATATAACACTATATTGTGTTACAAGATCAGGTAGTGTACACTTTAATCAAACATTCTTGAAAACCTCAATTTATTGTTGCTGTGAGAAGCTAAGTAGAATCTGACTTCTATTTCCAGAAGGAACAGTGAACATACCTTGCTAGCCCAGGCATCCTCATCCCAGGAAGTGAGCTGTAACACACGGATGATCTCATTTATTTCACCACTCATCTTCTCTACTGTGAAATTGCGGTTTTTCAAAGCCTCTTCTATTCCTTGGCTTTTGGAACTTTTAGTAGTTACAAAAATCTTCATAGCTGTGAATATTGCACTCTAGATTAGAGAAACTATCTAAGAAGATATGATTGATATACAGGATCTCCTCCTCCTGCATAAACTCAGGAACAGGAAGCTATATGTTTTGAACAGGACAGGAAAACACCATAAAGACTGATGACTTTAAAGGCTGGTCTACACTTAAGTTTTACTGGTAAATCTATATTGATTAACAGTGTGGGTTTTTTGCTGATAGTTATAAATATGTCTACACTAGGGCTCAAACAAGAATAAGCTATAGTAGTATAAGCACTTTTATACTAGTATAACTGTTTCTACACTAGAGAGAGTTTTTTTGCCACTAACTATACTGTTTGTTAATTTATGAGAAGAGCTAGAACATATTTCTTAGAATTTGGTTAGACCCTGACAAGTTTTCTGCTCTATAGCTAGGACCAATCGAAACATCTCTTAGACTAGCTAACCAAGTGTCAAAGTTACATGTCACAGTTACTCCCACATTTCTGTGAAGAATGATACCAAGTACATTCCACTCTGCAAAACACACCCATAATCCTCTGCTCTTGAGGTGGAGGGCATGCAGCAGCTGAGGCAACATAGGAGAGCTGCCCAGGTTTTCACAGAATGCACAGATGCAAAAACATGGTTGTGCAGTACAGTATGCAAAAGCCACTACAGTCAGTGGAGTTTTTGCTGAGGAAAATGGTGCTGTGTGGATGCATTCAACAGTGTTTGCTTGCAATCAGGCTCTGCCATGGTTGCACAACAGTCCCATTCTTAGACTAGATACATGTGGTGACAAAAAAAACCAAAACTCTCTCATTTAAAGAGAAAAAAGTTCTCCTACTGTTTTTTTTTTTTTTTTTTTTTTTACACATCAATGTATCATATATTCAGCAAAAATGCAGAGGCAATCATAAGCTTGCTTCCTCCTCTCCCCCATGTTGCCAGTTAAAATCCACCCCAGGACAAAAAGTAATTAAAAAACCCTATCTGCATTACAAACACCATTGTATTTAAGCACTGGCCTTATATGGAGGCATGGCCATATGTATTACAAGTTGGTTTATCTTGCTACTCAGAACCAAAGCCATGTTAGAATCAAGCTTTAACTCTGGTTTGACCCTGTTTAAACACTCAACTAATCCTCCAACCTCTTGGAATCAGTTCCACTGACTTAAGACGGAGGCGTGTTGGCAGGGCATTACCACTGCTGTAAATTCTTCTGGAGATAGAGGCCAAAATCTGAGTGGCCGTTGACAGTAAATTCACCTAAAAATCAAAGGCAGGACAAAAGTAGAGCTTTAAGAGGAATTACACATGGACCAAATGCAGGCAAGTTCTGTGCAGCCTTCCTACATGGCCTTGCTCAAAAGCTTCCATCCGCTGTCCTGATCTGTAACACTGATGGCTACTCCTGCTTGGGCCTCTGAGTAGGTAATTTAGTTAAATGTGCTTTATGATGTACAAGATGACACCCACTTAGCAGCAAGAAGCAACTGTCAAATTCATTTTCAGTTTCTACTTCATTTTATGGCAAGTTCTTAAAATAAAAGCAAAACTTTAATGTTCTAAACCACCTATACCACTAGGTAAAACCTAGGTCAGTGCCAGGGAGGGGGTGAATATGTTCACAAGTGTGAAAACCCTGACATACTAAAATGTGCTCAGTCCTATTACATACCTCCCTCTTCCCCAATCCCCCTTTCACCCTTGTCTTGGGGAGGAAATTCCACGTCCCTCTGTAGTTTATCAGACCAGCATTCCCTCTGACTAACCCCTTGAATTTTGCTAGACGAGTAAGCTATTTCAGCTGTCCGATTGGCAATTCTGCTCCTGAACAATCTTCAGCTGTTAAGCCCGCCTTTCTTCTTGCCCATTCACAGGATAAAAAACCCCATATCATGCCAGACAAAAGGGTGAGAAATACAGCAGAAGTGTGCCCCATTTTTGGTATACTTTTCCATGGCTCTCACCCCCATAAAGTTTTTTTAGATCGTTCCCCTTAATCCTTCCATGATGGCAACTAGATTGTATTAATGTGAGACACGTTATGAACAGATACTGAAAAAAATAGGACAACCATGGGAGAGTTTATCCATATGAATGCACACATGCATACTGCGATTTAAAAATACTCACTAAACCCTGTACACTGTGACAAGTATGCATGACACAAATACATCTGGTATAAATAGTGTATCACTAGTTTATGTAGCTCATTTTAAGTCTGAGGTGCACAGAACTTAAAATAGGAAATACGCAGGGTATGCACATGGAGAGTTGGCGTTACAACTTGCCATCCCCTCCCAGTTTGCCACAAATCAGTGAAACATCTAAATATTTGCAGTCAGCCCAAGAGGCATGTCAAAGCTTCTATTTTTAATGGTATAACACACATGCATCCAAATTCAGATCATGTATTTGCATCTAATAGTACAGCAGAAACTACCTGAAATAAGGACAGGCAACAACTCCTTCACAGTGTTCATGGAGTTCACCAACATCACTCTGTGTTCCTGATGAGTCAATTCCTGCTGTCTTTCATCAATCATTTTGGCCATCTTTGTCATTCCTAGGTCATAAAATGAAGTTCAAGTGATAAAACTGTTAATATTGAGTTTCCCCAGATTTATGAACATTTTACAAAGCATGTCTAGGCTCAGTTATTTGTTTAGCTTTCCAAACAAGAACGCAAACATGTAATGAGTTATGCCACCACTGAAGAAGTTTTGTATCACCTACTTTTCATTAAACCATATTTCAGTAGTTTAAGGGAAGCCACAGATCCAGTTTCTAGTTGTTAATTCAAGATAGAATATAGGTCTCATAATTTTGACGTTCATTTATCATGAATTTTAAGAAAAGAGCTATACAAATATAAAAGTAATGAATAGCCTACTTCTTGGAAATTAGTCAGTTCAGCATTGTATGACAAGGTAGTTTAGAGCTCTTTTTCCTCCTTTAGCTTTGATCAGTTCTCACCTAAATAATGGGGTGGGTGACAAGAATAGGAAAATATCCCTGACACAGGTTTAGTTTTGTTGGCTTCAAAGACTTTCATTGTCTGGAAGTATTACATGATTGTATTAATTTACACTGTCTTAGAAAAACTAAATAAAAATATCTTAATTCTCTACAAAAAATTATATTGGTGATGAAAGGAAGAGAATCAAAGCACGTGTTACTTTGGATTTCAGGAGTAAATGCACTTTCAAGGCTTGCATGAGGAACAGTGGAATATACATGTATAATCACACTTTCAACTGGCCAGAAACTATAGAGGAAACCATGTATTTCTCCTCACCCGCATCTTAAACACAACATGCAATCTGCAGGTTTTAAGATATGCATTGTTCATGTTTGCATATGTTCATGGTAATAGTATTCATGATGGCAGTAAGATAAAGTTGCACATTGGTTTAGCTAAAGAGAAGCCAAACTTCTGCCTTGGAAGAGCTGACAAGGTTTTAAGGTGGTTCTTTAAACTAGAACTAGGGGGAAAAGATATGTGCTGAGGAGCACTTATGCAAAAAGACATCTCTGAGGGATACCAGTGATACCAAAGTAACACTGTAACCAGTAAAGAACAGGACAGATTGAGTTGGGAGAGGTACACTCCAGAAGGAAAAAGAAAATTCTCAGGTTAAGGAGTTAGAGAAAAGAAACATTTGTGGGATACTTTATTATTTGACTATAAACCACACAAGAACTGCTGAGGTCACAGAGATGGAGTAGCAGCATTATGCCTAAGACTATAAAAAACTTACTATCAATATTATGTTTTAAGTGTTTAGTGATTATTTGAGCCAAACAAATGTTCTTCCTAAATCAAAATCCAGCCCAAGTGAAACCAAAAGGAAGGAGCACAACTTAGACATGTAAAATATTAGGAGGGCTAGGAGGAATTTTGAAGATAAAAAGCAAGCGATACAAAATAAGTAGGCTTGGCAGGGTTAAATTTTAATGGATAGATACTGGCAAATGTCGATTTCAGCTGACTCACTGAAACAGATGAAAAAAATATCCATTAGTAACAGCTGGTGAAAGTGCAGCCTATTCCCCCAACTTTGCACCTGAAGGGATTGGGTGTCACTGGCCCTGTGGAAGTGCAGGGAGCCCTCTGTGGCCCTGCTGTCACTGGGGATATGACAGCAGAGTTAGTTATAGAGGGCTCCCTGCACAAACAGTGACAACTGATCCCTGCAGGTGCAGGTTCAGGGAAGGCTTCTGTGTTGGCAGGGGGAGCAGAGTCCCCTGGCCAGGATGGTGAGAAGGAAGAGCTTCCTGGCCACAGGGGAGGCCACCCCACTACAGAATGGCTCCATCCCCAGGCAGGAATTGTTCAGTGGGGTGGCCTCCCTCGTGGCTGGGAGCTCATCTTCCCCCTGGCAGCCCTTTGCTCTGCTGGGCCAGAACCAAAACTTCCCCTGCACCTTGCACCCAGGTGTCTTGGTCCCCTGGCTGAGCAGGGAACCCCCTGCAGCCCCATTATCAGTGCTATTAATCGTTGAAATTGCAAACAAACAAAAAATCAATTCTGCCATGCCTAAAAATAAGCAACAATTATACCAGAAGGAGAAACCTGTGAGATAACTGGTGGGTCTACATGATTGCATGGGAGCAAAAGAGAATGTTACTGATCTACTCTTTCCTGGTAAAGAAGACAAGGCACTGTCAGCGACTGAGGTATCAAAGGCCTTGTCTAAACTTGCGGTGGTGGTGGTGGTGTGTAGCGTATGTGTAGTTACACACCTCAGTGAAAAGCAGTTAGTGTTCACACTGTAGTGTGTAGCTATTCACAGCATTGAAAGACTCTGGCAGGGGGAGGTAGCAGGGAAAGGCTCTAGGAAAGGGATCGGCAACCTTTGGCGGGCAGCACATCCCTTGATCCGCGCCGCTTCCCGCAGTTCCCATTGGCCTGGGACGGCGAACCACGGCCAGTGGGAGCCGTGATCAGCCGAACCTGCAGACGCGGCAGGTAAACAAACCGGCCCGGCCCGCCAGGGACTTACCCTGATGGGCCACATGCCAAAGGTTGCCGATCCCTGCTCTAGGACACTACACTGCCAAAACCAGCAGAAAATATGCAATCTCAGTAAAATCACCTATACCAGAGAGAATACTTAAAGTGTGCTGGGTCGCAGATCAGGAAATAAAATTTCCCAAAAGCAAGCAATGTCACTGAGGGATACGCATTTTTAGTGCTATCTGGGGAAAACACCCTCTAATTGGCTGCTCTTCCTCAGAAGGTGGGCCAGCTAGGAAACAGCCAATTAGGGCAAAAACAGGTAGAGTTCTCTCCCCTTAGGAACCAACATCATTCTCACTAGGTGGGAGAGGATAGGAGGTAGCAGGGAAAAGAAAAAAGAAAAAAAAAAAAAAGAGGGAAAAAAAAAACAACAGCTCAGAATGGCTCCACTCCCTATTCTTATCCTGTGAGCAACAGGAAGACTCCTCTGCCCCTCCAGCCTCCGGTACAACTGGGCAGAAAAGTCCTCACTGTAGCCCCCTCACCCCACAGGCCTGGGAGAGAGAAAGAACCCCACGTGCTGCAGAGATGAGGCTAGAGGGGTAGGATTGATTTGGGGCTGGGGGCAGAACTGATTTCTGGGCAGATGTGGGGGTGTCGACAGACACCCCACACCCTTTTTTGGAGACCACTTTAAACACTAACCATATGACTGGTAGATAGCAAATATTGCATCTGGCTGTATGAAAGACAGCAGACACTATCGTGGGAATGACAGACCCATGAGACTTGTTTCAGTGTCAATTGAACTGGCTGGAAAATGAGAGTTATAAAATACCGAGATAAACGTGACAGGGACAAACCAGCATCATTCCTGCAAAGCAAAATCATGGCTTTCCAATCCACTCTAAGTTTCAGCCTATCAACAAAGTAGGCAACACAAGAGATATATTTAGTTTGAGAACTCTCTCACAACAAGCCATAAAATAATCTTAGTTATGAGGAGCAAGAGATAAGGATTGTCATGGATTAGAAACTGTCTAAGGGACAGACAGACGGAAGTGTCAGTTTTCAGCATGGCAAAAAAGATTAACTGTGAAAGGGTACTGCCCCATCAATGATCTGGGCTAGCACTGGAGTTTAATGTGTGCTAATGTTAACACATTAATATTCCGGAGTAGGGGGATCAATAACGAGGTGGAAAGTTATGGAGCTAACAACATTTATGGTGATACCTCAAACTAGAGAAGACTGAAGAACTTCAGAGGACCTAACAACACTAGATAAAATACACAATACCATAGCAGATGAAATTCAGGGTTGAAAAATGCAAAGTTTCTAAACACTGATAGGCATAATTTGAACTACACATACACATTACTGGGTTCGAAATTAATTGTAACCACTCCAGGAAACCGAGCTGTGCTTATTGTGCACAGCTCAATGAAAATATCTGCTTAGTAAGTCATTGCAGTCAAAACAAAAATGTTAGGAAGTATAAACAAACAACAACTTGCTCTGATATAGCACTTTTCGTCAGTAGATCTCAAATTGCTTTACCAAGGAGGTAAGTATTATCCTCATTTTGTAAATCAATGGTGTAGCCTCACCTGAAATAGCGTTAAGTTCTGGTAACCTTAGCTCAAAAATAAATAATTTTATATATCTCAGAAGTAAAGGAAGTCCAGAGAAAACCAGTAGAAACAATTAGAGCTATAGAATGACTTCCATATGAAGAAACCGGCAAGAGTATGACTGTTGATTTAGAGATGATGACTAAGAAGTATGTAAAATAATGAATGGTTCTTATTTCTTCAAGCACAACAAGGGGATGCCAAATATATTGCCTTCAATTTCGTTATTTCTCATAGGATTTTTTTTTTTTTTAACCACAATGCATAACCAACTTACTACTACAAGGTAACACTGAGGCCAAGAGTTTGAGGATGAAAAGGATTACCCGTTGTGGCAAGGTACCTCCTCCATCTCGCCAGGCTCAGTACTTCCCCCTTTGACGGTGGCAGGACCTGGAGTAAAATCAACCCCACTTTGGACAGTGTTTATCTTCCCACTCTGAGTTTATTTATCAGTATTTTCAAGGTAGGCCTCAGCACAGGCCCAAGGAGTGCTCCTCCACCAAACAAAAGAAACCAATTCACAAACACAAAACAAGGGGATGCACCTTTCCCTGCTGCCTCACTGGGTAGGGGGGGGGTGGCAGTCCTCCTCCTAAACAGGCATTCAGTTTTGGTTGTTTCCCCTGTAGGGAAGAGAGCTGCCTCTCACTCTGGAACAGCATATCTCCCTGCCACCACTAGACCTGCAGCAGCTGGTCTCTCTTCCCTTTCTCTCACCAGAGGAGGGGTTTTTAAAGGCCTCAAGCAGCCCTTAATTGGACTCAGGTGTCCCTAATCGACCAAGGGTAACCCCTTCTCAGCTTGTAGGAAAAAGGGCATATCACTCTTGGGCTCACATACCTGCCCTTCCACCACTCTCTTGCAGCCGCCCACCCTGACTTTGTCACACCATTTCAGAATATGGTTTCTTGGTTCTCTCTTTGAAGCAGCTAACACTGGCCAATGTCAGAGATAAGGTACTAGACAAGATGGCTCATTGCTCTGATATTGTATGGTAATTCTTATTTACATGGACATATTTATTTTTATTCAAATCAAAGTTTAATATCTAATATTTTCCTGCAGCACAACTAGCACCTCCATATGTCACACAGGCTTTATCAGACTCTTGGGCAAAGGCATCAATACATGTAACAGAAAGACCTCATCAGCAAGGTAACAGGTCATAAAAAGGCTGCAAACTAGCTGGCAAGTAAAGAAAGGATGGTGAGTAATGAGGGGGGGAAATGGTAGGGCCCAAGCTGGCCTTTTATAACATTATTTTCTGCATTCTCACTAACATGAAGATGTCAAACTCATACTGTGGTTTAAATGTATACCATCCCAAGAGAGCCTTCAAGACATAAACCATCTGAATCAGAACACACTATTTCCACAAATGGGATTCAGCTCTGTGTTAGTGAGTGCACAGCTTCCACAACTGTATTTTATGATGTACAACAAAAATACAACAGCAAATGCTAACTTTTAGCACATTACTCCATCAAAGTAAAAGACATTATAGTGCATTCCATTAACCTCTCTTATGGATATTCTGACATAAATAAACCAACACTGGTCAATTAAATCATGGTGCACAATTTTCTAATTAGAACTACTATACATACTGAAAAGAATATTTGTCAAGCAAAAAGAGATAAACGGTTGGCCTCTAGTTGTTTTCAAAGCCCCAGCTTTAGCTCTCTCCAAGATCTTGCCTCTGAACTACTGGAGAAATAAAGCTGCATGCAAGAATATAGTCACAGGACTGGAAAGGTCTAACCTGGACCCAGATTCTTTGTGTATGTCACCAAATCCTCCATAGTCTCTACCACCTCTGCTACAGTTAGGTATTCCAAAATTCCTTTGCAGACACGGATGATTTTACGGACCTAGGGGGAAAAAAAACATTTCAGCATTTATTAGATCAAGCTATAATACAATAAATTAGAAATATTTATTACTGAAACAGAACAGGTACAGCATCTGGTAGCATAATTTATAGAAAAGTATGTGGTTTGGAATGTTGAATAAGCTGCTCACCAATTGATTACTCAAGAAAGCCTCATTAGCCAAAATCAACATATCTGTACTTAGAAATGCAAATCCTGCTTCTAACAATTTCCAACTGTATGACAACATAGAATAACAGAGAAGAAGTAGTAAAATGGTGAGGAAGTGTATTTAACTATCATGGCACTAGAGAAAATGCTGTCAGCTTGAAGACAGCATAGTTTCAAGTTTATTATTGCTATTCAACTGGTAAAAAATGAAATCACCTAAGCCAACCTATATCAGAGTAGCATACTCCAAAGACTACCCTATGAAAGGTTATCCATTAGGCAGTTTTGCACATGCAGAACACAATATACAATATCCTTTTTTGAAGGGCAGATCCAATTTCTTAAGTCTTCCAAAAAACAATGCACATTTGAAGAGAGGTACTTATTCTCCTTTTACTTCAATATAGATTCTGTACACTTTAGTTTAATACTCTGTTAATCCATATTCGGTTTTTAACTGCTTTTTAAAAGATTCACACCAACATGTATAAATATTGCCTCTTTAATTCTTCTACCACATACTTCAGAGCATGGAAAAACAGACAGATCCCATGGCACCATGAAATCTTATTTTAGAGGATGTAACTTTGAAAGTACTGCTTGTGGTGGATTCAAATCAAACTCCAAGTGTTGATAAGTCTGAAATTATGCTTCTAGAAATTGTCCTCAAAAACAGTAGCTCACAATTACCACTAAAACTAAGGTAGAACATTAGAACAAGGGCTCTCTTGAAAGTGGTTGGGAACATGCTAGATTTGTGAAAATCAAATCCAGAGTCAAATATATGTGTCTTGTTGAACTTGGGTATGGTCACAGCTGAGGTTGAGAGCTTCTAAAAAAGTTTAACTTAAAAAAACGGAATCCTCTTCTTGAGCATTGGATCTATAGTTGGAATAGGTGGACATGCTCATAACTCTTTGTGGACTGATTATAATCACCTGCAAAAATATATGTGATCGCTAGAGCCACAAAGTAATTCCAAGCATTAGCGTCATCTCAGGATATCATGATAAGAACAGTTTCAGTAATCAGTGAGTTAACAGTGAAGCAGCAACACTGGTACTGGAGTGCTCACATACCATGGGAAGGAAAGCATATGGAGACTTTGCAGGTTGAAAAGTAGGATATAGGTAAACATTGTAAGTAGCATCAATTTTTCCTCAACCAAATGGGATATGTTTATCTTAACTTCATTCCCTCTTAAAGGCAGGACGCTAGTCGCTAGAAAACAGGAGATACCATATTCTTAAGAAGGGGAAACACGGTCACAAAAGTGAAGCAACCCAATTGGTTCCATTACTAACACCATACACACAAACATACACAAGATGAAGCAGAAGCCTCAATCTCACATTTCCTTGCATCTATGGGTTTACATAAGGTCCTGAGTGCCATTTTTTTTCAGGGTGAGGGGGGGCGGAGATGAGGGGGATTAAGAAATACACAAAAACCTTTAAGTAACAGGGCAGCATAAAAAGGTTTTTCTTGGCAGGAAGATAGGCACAAAGAATGCTTTCAATCTATCCAAACAGAGTCCTTGTCACAGAATGAATTTTGGGAAGTGCTGTAAATTAGCAAATGTAAATTAAGTGGGTATTTGAGATAACATGATACTGATATATAGAAGATGATGTTATTGGTACTAAGACACCTACCTCAGCCTCATCAAACGTCAGAAGCAAGTCTGATGTACCAGAGAGGATGCCTCTTGATCCATCAATGAGATAATCACGAGCAGGTACTGAATAAGGATCTGTTTGCAGCATCTGGGCTGCCTGGACAAGTTTAGTGCAGGCATTCTCCACTCTGTGTGCAACAATAAGATTCAGCCATTAATACTTACTCTGCCAGAAGTGAACAGATGTGTAAACTTATAGGGGGTTGAAATCTCATTATTTGTAACTATCAAAACACAGCAAGCAAACTGTTTATCCATCCCAACACACACACTTATGGTTTAAATATGCAAATATAAATATTTACACATCACTGATGAAGTCAGCCTTTGTCTTTAGAGCAAGATATATAAGTTAACAACACTGAGGCTACAGGTTAGAGACACTGACATGAGTCACAAAATACCCTTTTAGTTCCAGCAAGCCAGGAGGTTAGGTAGCGGGGAGTTTTTCCAACAGGATCATAGAGTAAAAGTAATCACTGTGCAACATCCTGGCATTTGCATTATGTTCTATTAATGTCAACAGGCAAATGCATCAATAGGTAATTAATCACACCTGTAAGTTAAGATAACAAAAGGACATTTTGTGAAAAGTATTGAGGCTCCTCAGATCCTCATTTGTTAATGAAGAAGCTTTCCAGCTCTTTAATATATATTACTACTTGTGCACGTCAATATCATGTGAATAGGCATATGGTTTGAATCTCTCAACTTCTGATACCAAGTCTAAGAGAGAAGGTCCCAAATGCAGACTGTCTGAGTGTTATTATAACCCTTAACTCAACACAGTTGATATGAGCTTTAAAATTAAACTAATTCTATCCAGCTATTTGAAATGCAGCCCTAAAGAAAACTATTTTGAGTTAAGGAGTTAACCCTGTTTCAGTTATCAATTTCTTTTTCACTTTTCGCAAATGTCGTATTCTTTGAACAAGTCAATCAGAAGCTTTCTGGTAGCAGAGCAAAAGCTGGCTTTCCAGCCAAACTCTAAAGCTTTAACACAAGTTCAAACTACGCAACTGTTAATTTGGCCTCTCATATCTGGATAGTATCCTGGCACACAGATTAGCAAGCAAGCATCTGCTCTGCCACCATTTTGTTGCAGGGCAAAGCTATCAATGGAATGTTTTGCCAAGTTTAACTCATTGATCAAACAGTATTCATATCTTCTAGGTTCACATTTCCCTGAGCATTCATGGAAACAGAAGCATTTGAAGTGGTGCTTCTTAGTGTGAATACAGGCATTTGTATAGGTGCGCATATATTTTCATGCTCACCCAAACACCTTTTGTATATTTATTCCCACCAAGTAAATATTTGACAAAACCAAAAAAAAAAAAAAAATGTCAATTGTAAAATTTTCTTAACAGCTTAAAAAACTAGCTTCCACCTTCCTCTTTCTCCACAATAATTGTGCTATAAGCTATCACAGCTGGGCACCAACACCAAACAGCACAACTCTGAATACTTGTCACTGAACACAAGTTAGGAATTTATATTAGATTTGCAGAAGTGGGGAAAAGTTAAACACACAAACCCTGAAATTGGGGCATGGGGAGAGAAGGAAGCAGAAGACATTATGTATCAGGTGCGGTGGGATAGACTATGAGGGGCTGAAGGAGTAGAATTAACAATTTTAAAACTGTTCCCTCCCTATAAAGTACCACAATTCTCCACTACTCCTGTACTCAGGTGTGTGCCTACAGGGAGCCAGTTGAATAAGTAAGAATATAGAGTTGTCTGTAGTTAGCTAGGTGCAGCAAGGAAAGCAATTGAAAAGCAATAGTGTATTTATAAGACAAGGAACATTAAGAGACTGTTAAAGAGGAAACTGAATGGTAACATGACAGAAATAAAGCTAGTACCAAAGTTTGTTTGCAACAAAAAAGCATTCAAGTGTACTAACAAAAACCTCTAAGATGTCCTGTCTTCTTTCTGCATCCGCACAGAGGAAGAAAGCCTCCTTGGGGCTGTGTATGCAGAGGTGCCCAGGCAGCGTGCACTGTGAGAGCAGTGAGTAGGAGCCAACCACACAACTTCCCCACAGATCCCTTCTCCCTGCCTCCCGGGGGGCAGGGATCCTAGGGGGTCATGTTGGGGATGCACTTCACTGCCCCACAGCTGGCAGCAGCGAGGCTGGGGGATGTGTGTGCTTTTCCTCTAAAACCTACATTTTATGTCAAACTTCAAAACAGACAAAAATAAATAAAAATACAGCTAAATAAAATCCTCTTCACTGAACATCCCATTCCAGTTTGACAGCCCTGGACACTGATGTCCTAATTATCCTCAGAACAGGTGCACATGGGCCTTTTCCTGCAAACGTGATTCAACCTAGAGGTGGAGAACCCAGTTCTCAGATTAGATGTCAGTTCAGTATAAAGCCGTCTCACATTGCCATCATTCTACTGAGACAGCCACGAAAGGAGCTAAGTATGCAGTTTATGTACTCATGTGTTCCTTATGGGCACCTGAGCCCCGTCAGTAGCACCATCAGTTAGGAAACGGTGGCTGGTAGCATTTTCCCACTGTGCAACACATTCTTAGAGCTAGAGTGTTGACGGGGTGGAGGCAAGAGGGGGGACTGCTCGGCCCCCTTGGGTCTGTGCACTGGAGTGTGGACACCAGAGCCCTAGGTTTGAGCACAGGTCAGAAATCCTTAACCTAGGGTTAGAATGCAGTGTAGATGCTAATGCCCATGGTTCCCTGATACAGGTCAATTGACTTGAGTCCCACTAGCCCTAGATTAACATTGATGTGTAGACATACCCTCACATGCCTAATAGACACTGCTGGCCAAGAGAGTACAAACTGGCGTACATGACGTACACATGCACCAATGGTGGAATACACTTGGACAAGTACTTGAAGATCACAGATCCCTTCAGTGTTTGAAGCTCACAAAAGGAAGAGTCAGGACATCAAGATTACAAGACTTATCCGTCCCAGCTACCCACTTTTGGGGGCCTATAAAAAGCTTCAAACAAAGTATTGTTAAAGTGACACATTCTAGCTTTTTGGGTAATCATTGCCGACCTAGTAACAGATACAATTTCAGATGCAGGACCTTCCTGGAGATACGACACTGATTATGTTGCTCATGGGTTTTCTTCCATTTTCTGGCTTCCTCCCACAAGACAGTTAAGTACAGCGCAGGACATAGATTCTCCTTACACTGATCTTACTGTCATCCATCAATTCGATCTTAAGCGATCCTCGAATAAAGTTCAGTCAAACATGAAACTCTTACTACACCAGTTCTGAGCTAAACCAAGAGTTACTACAGAGAAACTGGATCATGATACCTAACTTTCTTCATGCTGATCAGAGTTCCTCCTAATAAGCATTTAGACATAGTGCTGAGAGCAGTGAAATCATTGAAAATTGACTAATCCATCCTATATTCCTGACCCCACTAAGAAATAAAACAATACTTTAAAAAGTGGTATCAGAACAATACAAGATTTTCAGCCAGTGGTTCCCCTGAGTAGACTCAAATGGGCCTTATCACAAGATGTAGTCTACAATGAAACATCTGGTCAGCTCATTAGGGGCAATATTGACAATTGCGTAAGAAAATCCATTAAGACTAACAAGAGTCAGAAAACAGGAATGATCTGGTCTCCACTATGTAAAATGTAGTTGTAGCTTTCAGTCCAACATACTTCACTAAAGTTAGTTTCCCACTGCTGGAAGCAGTTAAACTTTTCTCTTTTCAGCCACACTAAGAAAGGCATTAAACAGGTCACCTATCCACCCAAATCAAAATAATACGCTCAAAACTGCTGGATTTGCATTATGGAATTTCATGGTCATTTGTATAAAAGTTCCAATGCAGGTAGGGCTGTATTTCCCATTTGTGAACAACTGATGTAAAAGTAAAAACTCTTTAAATCTTCATGTCTTAAAGATTCAGCATGTGAATGGAATGTCTTAGCTACAATGTAGTTTTCATTTAAAAACCATTTAGAAGATTTAGAGGTGGATTTGTGTTTTAATTGTATAAAGCCCAGTTTAGTGAAATGTTCCACACCATTACCTCTCAAAATACTGCAACTTCAGAATATGTGCCTCTGCCTGCAGGACTGGGGTTTTTGTAAAAGAACAAAATTTATTGCCCAATTTAAAAAAATTAGTTTGAGTTGAAAGACATGCAAAAAAAAAAAAAAAAACACACAATCACACCACTCAATTGCTTTTTTCCCTCCAACAGAATCTATATGTAGTATGTTAAAAAAATTGAACAAAAGTTAACTGCTAGATTTGGATTCAACCAGAGAACACAAAGCTTTTAAGCTACAAAAACATTCAAATGTTATTGGCTGAAGACAACTCTCTCATATCTTATGCTCTTATTTTGTAAAAAGGCAAATTGATATAGAGGATCCATAATTATCTAGACAAGATTAATTACTAGGCCAACAAAAATTTCAGGTAGGTAGATTGTGGGTAGGTGTAAAGGACAAAAAAAATGTTTAGAAACTTATTCTTTATGCTTAACGCTATATAAATAGTTAAGTAACGAACTAATTTACAACTTATGATTCAATTTATTTTCTCCCACACAGTAAAATTATTGGGGGACTAGAGGGAAGACCATAGGCTAAGATTTTGTCAACACCAATCCAGGGGGAGGAGGAGGATCTATTTTTTACATCTAGTGTTTAGGTTTCTTACTCTTTTCTGGAACATTTTGAGAGCAGTTTCCCCTCAACCTATATTAATGTCAGTTTATACATTCTGTAAAGCAAAAATACTAATCTGACACTTCTCTACTAACATCAAGGCTATTTTTCGGGAGGGGGAGGGGGTTGGTTCATTTTAATATACAGAATGCATGCTAATGACAATAATTTGAAATGGAAAAGCCACTGTACAGAAAATGGTAGCTCTAGAAATCTAACTGCCAGACTTGTCAGCTCACCTCTGCTGTAACACCACATTTATAGACCAGATTAATTATATATAAATATATTTTGATACTCTTGTTTTAGACATGAGCAGAACGTTAGGATGACTTGTGATGTAATTGGATCCATGTGTGTCAAAACGTCTATTTATTTTTTAAACACCAGAGCCAATCCTTAATTTTAAATGCCACACAAAAGCTCAGTTGCTAAAGATAAAG